AAAAAACTCTGGAAGTCAAGAAATGATGATTTCACTTGGGCATTGCAATATTACTGTCTTTCGTTTTCTCTATCTCTGTACAGGTAAACTGTGACTCAGTTTCCATAACACAACACCTGACTCCATGTAGTAATATGGTGGGCTGTCCACAATGCCTATGGCAAGCATTTAAATGGCTCTTACAACCAGCAAGAAAGAAATTAATTTCTTCAAGATTCCTTTAAGTCCACGAGCTTATCGCACATTTAACATTAATCAGATTTACCTGATATTTAGTACTTTATTTTACAGGAAATAACTCTTGGCCTCGTGAAGTTATTAATCTTAAAGGATAATAATCAGGTCATTGAAAAGAGAAGCCTACCTGACAGTTTTCTGATGGACTACTTTGAATATCTCCTTTAATTAGGTATGAAGCATTTAACCAAAACTAAGATTAAACCTCATGTCTCATGCAATTTCTTTTTGCAATTTTTATTAATACAAATTAACCTGAATAGTCTCACCTTTAGATACTCCTCCTTTCTATCACATATTTGCCACTTGGGATCGCCAACAGATTGAGGCTCACACCATCCTTTTACCTCAGCCACATCCTAAGAATTCCCTGGGCTCTCTGGTGCGACCATAACAAATATCTCAGAGCAATGAAATGTTGGTGACCCATGTATGCGTGGGCTAAGCTAATAGTAATTACTAGTTAATAGTAATTACACACAGACACACACACTCCATTAGGACTTGTTTATTTGAAATCTTGGCATCCGTGGACATCAAGTATGTAAAATGTGATTACCTGAGTTTCACAAATGAAGAGAAAATGAACTGGCAGAAAAATCAGCATACATTCCACATTTTTCCTGGGTATACATAGTGCTGTTCCTGGATTAACAGACAACAACATTCTTAGATCATTTATGCAAAGCAGCCTTTTCCCTACAGCTCCCTTTATGAAAGCTAAATATGCTAATAGAATGTTGATTGTAGCAAAAATTTTGCAAAATATTCATTTTTAATTTCAAAGAGCATCCCTATTTAACATGTAGGAACCTAAAAATACACACAAACCAAACGCGGGTGCTTTGTTGGAGTTGCATGATACCCTGGATGCATCTGGTAACTGCATGTGGTCCGCTGCACTTGGTACAACTCGATACAGCTTGACATATTCTGGGATTTATTAAAATGTAAATGACAAAGCAGAAAAGAATGTTCAGACAATTGGATTACTCCATTGACTGAATGTTCCAATACTGTATCTATTTTTGTCAGAGCAATGGTGGCTCCTGCTGTGGAATGCTGAGTGGAATATTCCATTGCAGGGTGTTGGGAGAGCTTTTATAAAGGAAATTGAAACCTAGTCATTTAATTTTTAACTCTCCTCTAGAAAAACAAGATTGTCAATACTTTCTAAAAGAAATTATGATAATTTTGGTTTCTTACCATTGGAAGATTAGCATTCCTAGCTATTTTTTTTTTCAGTGTAATTTATTGGATCTGCAACTTCATTCATGAAAACAGTGATGTGTTTGCTTATTTTTGTGCATGGCCTTGGCTTGTTGTGAACATTGTGTAACGAATATAAATATATGTGACATGGCAGTGAATATGCAGAATCCAAGAGAATTTTATTGATTGGAGAGCTGTTAGGATTCATTCTGGCAAAGAGAAGGCTGAGAAGTAGGTGTCTTTCAGGACATGAAGGGACTGAGCTTAGCGAGAATGGAAGCCAGCTGTTCTTCCTCTCCACAGGGAACTCGAGAAAATGAGATTAAACTATAGCTTGAGGGATTTGGAATAGAAATAAGAATTTCCCAACTGTGTAGACTCTCAAACAGTGAAATGCATTTTGAAGGAAGTGTGTGGATATTCATTTTATTCTGAGGTCTTCAAAAACTGAGAAGACACATTTTCATTATGTGGTCTTACACGGATAAAGAATAGACTACCTGACTGACATAGTTCATGGATTCTCTTGATCTATGCATAGAATCTAAAAACAGAACAGAGTGATGGCCAAAAGAGGTAGCTACTGTTATAGTCGTTTTTAATGTCAGCCTTTCTCCTGGGGTAGACTGGAATTTTTATCTGTACTGTGAAATGTAAAATTGAATGAAATGTCATACAATAAAATAGGTGGGAACAGAGAATGTGACTGTACAGTATACTGTTATTTTCTCTTCCCACCACCATTTCTGCTATTGAGGAATTCAAGTTTAAAACAAAATGTCCTTCTTCCTTATGTGTGGAGTTTAACATACGTACTTTGATGTCTGAATCTGTAAGAATGTTGTTAAGATTCTGGGGAACTGAGCTATTCTCTGTACAGTAAAATATATAATATATTTATTTGTGTATTTGTATATATGTATGAATTTTTTTAAAAATTAATTTTATAGAAATGAATCAATAGTGTTTGTATTTGAGTATCAGAAATATTTGAATATTTGAGTCTAAGGGATTTAAACAAGCCTAAATTAGACTCTTAAAATTATGATTATAGAAGATTCTGACTTCTCTTGATTGAAAATAATTGTATTTTCTACTCCCCTTAGACAGCTTTGTGTAGCCAGCAGGGTATTATGTTAAAGTCAGAAGCCTGGGTTAGGTCTAATCTTAATCATGAATTGGCTTTTAGAACTATACAACTCAGCAACGAAGTATGGGTTTATATTTCGAGCAATGGAAAGCAAACTTAAGATATGTCAGAGATTTTAAAGTCTTTTTTGTTCTAAAGTGCTACCAACTACTAATAACAAAAGCTCTAGGTTTTCTGAGATCATTTTAAGATTATATCCCCACAGGTGAATGACTTTTTAACTTTGGCTTCACATTCCCATCTCAAAGGAATCTTTAAAAATCCCAATTCGCAGCTACACTCTACACCAATTAAATCAGAATCTTTTCAGCAGAGAGCCAAGTATGAGTATTTTTTAAACTCCCTAGGTGGCTAGAATGTGTAGCTGAGTATAAACACTCTTCTTTTGGGTACAATCCAAGGAAAAATGAAAATACATTAATGCTACTCACTGTAAGAATTAAGTCTTTTCTGTTGCCTCCTATAACCTTAGCACCTAACAAAGTGCCTGGTATATACTAGGTGCTCAGTAAATTATTAATCTTTTCAGTAAACTTTGGCCAATCCTTGAAAACAATAGAGCTTATCAAGTCTGTTTACCTATTTGGATCATTTTCATTTTAACCTTTCCACTAAATTAGAGTTCAGTGTTTTTCCATTGCTTGCTTGTGTAAACATCAAAAGAAAGTGAAATAATAGATAATCCTGTTCAGTGATATCATCCTCTTATCCTGGGGATGAAAGTAAATCATGAATCACAATATTCTCTAGAGAAAGGGCCTCTTGGAACCTAAAGGCACATGTCTTACCTGACCCTACACTTTTAGGTAGAAATAGAATTAAATCTACATGCAGCATTCATCAATTATATTGTGCCAAACTCTGTGACTGGTTGTTGTAAACTAATTCAGACAGAGTTTTATGCTAGAATTGGACCTTAATGCCTGGACATCCTAACATACAATGAATTAACTTTCTTCTTTTGCATATAATGTAGCATTTTTAAATGTCTTCCTTGGAATAATTGAGAAAATAGTCATTCGAATTCTATTTTGTGACCTGTGGTCCAAACGACAAATGCTAGTTTAAAAAGCTGCTGATCTAGAAGATGAAATGACTAACAAAGCCTAGAACATATTTCTAGAACAGCACTGTACAAGAGAACTTACCCACAACAGGAATGTTTTGTATCTGTGCTGCTGTGGGGTGGTCACTAGTTGCTTGTGGTTACTGAACACTTGAGGTGGCTGGAAAAATTGAGAACTAGTTTGTGTGCTGTGTATGACACCAGGGACTGAACCAGGTGATTTTTTTCTTTGTTCTTTTTTTTTTTTTTTTTTTTTTGGTAGGAACTTGCTAAATTACCAGGGCTGGCCTCAAATTTGCAATCCATCAGCCTTCCTCTGCTAAGCCACTCAAATTATAGGTGCGCACCACCACACCAAGCTCCAAATTTATTGTATACAATATTAATTAATTTAAATTAAAACAGCACGCATGGTGTGTGCCTATGAGGTTGAACAGTGTGGCCCTAGAATCCTATGTTAAAATAGAGGAGACCAGTACAGAAGTCATCACCATATTGGTGATAAGTTCCAATAAGAAACACATAATTTCATGAAGTGCCTACATGGAAAAGGTAAGTCTAGGGGTGATGACGGGTGTGCCTTTCAAGAGGAAATGGCTGTTGGGATGTGACTATAGGAAATAAATCTGGAAGTACTGGACAGAGGTTATGTGTATGAGAAAGCTGAGACTATCCAGGGAATGCTAAGAAAAGGCAACAGAGAATGGCTTATACCAACCAAAGAAACAAGAAAAAGAAGGTTGGTGAGCAGACTGCAGGGTCTAGCATCAAAGACAAAAATGGTTTAGGAATTGTGATATCTCCATTGTAACAGGAATCAGTGCAGGGTTTCACACCACAGAGCGATGTTTGTGGGTAGAGGCCCCAGAGAGCAAGCCAGGGAGAATGAGAGCTGTCTTTACATTACAGAGGATGGAAACGAGTGTACATGTTTGAGTCACAGAAAGAACAAACTGTCATACGGACTGCTGGAGTTATCTACCATAGCAAGTAGCAAGGGAAGCAGCAAGGGCTACACCTTGGTTTCCATCTTGAGCAGATGAGCGTGCCAATTATTTAAAGGCAACATGGGATCACCTGGAAATTGTTACTAAATTTAAATTTTCTTATCACACCATATTATTTGCTCCTCATGGGTCCTATAATAATATTTATATATGAATACATGAAAATAAATTCTGCGGGCTGGGGATTTAGCTCAGTGGCATAAATGCCTGCTTTGCAAGTGCGCAGTTGTGAGTTCGATTCCTGGTACCGATTTAAAAAAAAAAAAAGTCAAAAAGAAAATAAATTCGGAGAGTTGTTTTCCCAAGAAATCAACACAAATTTCAACAGTTGATGCAGCATTTCTTTTATTGATAGTTAGGTACATATGACAATTCTCATAAAATGTCTACAGAGTCATACTTCGAGTCTGGCTACTTTTAAAAAAACACCTTTTTGTTAACTCAGTGAAAATGGTGTGAGACAGGACCAACAATCATCATTTTGTAAACAGGATGATCAGTTCCATAAGAAGAAAGAACTAAATATGACAATGCCAAATATCTAAGTGGAAATTTTCAATGACCAAATATTTTGATATTTCCAAACATGTAGATGTCTGTCCTTAAATAGACCCAGCTTCACACAGTTGCGTCTTGAGCCTCTATGTTATGCAATTGGCCCCTTTATGAGTCATTACTAAACAAAGGCAAAGTGGCTGGTATAGAAGCGTCAGAGTTCTCAAGTCTATCCTTTCATGGCCAAAGTATTCTTTAGTTACATGGATATGGTCATGCAGATGCATTTGCAAATGTGTACTATGTATGAAGTTGGTTAAGAAGATTTGACTTGCGCAGGTTCACAAAGAGTTCCAAATAGACTGAGAAAACTATTGCAGGTATTGTACACATAAAGCTTTTGCCATTTTGGGTTTTGGCAGGATGAACTGACAATTTGTGGATTTAAAGATGCTAGTTCATGACTAGCGAGGTGGGCTAGCAAAGAGGTCCAGAACTGAAGCAATCTCCCAGGTATGCTATTCCCTGATTACCTAGGGATAATGTTTCCTTTAATCAAATTCGGGTTCATGTTTTGTCTAAGCAGATTGGCATAGTTCAAGGGCCACCGAGAGAAGACCAAACTGAAAAGGTTTACTTCTGGCCTTTGGCCTCTTGCAAGGACCTCACATGTGAACTTTTGTAAGTCACTCTAAGTTTATGGGCTAGAGATTCATCTTGTCTGTAAAAACGGATATTGCGATATGTGACATAAGCCCCTCTCTATTTTTATTTTCAAGGATTTAAGAGTTCCTGCAGAACAAATAAAGTCCACCAAAGTCTTGCCAAAAACAAACAAAAAAATCTAAAGTGCTGACAAGCTCTACTCCCCAAATTTTTCCTTTTTCATGAAAATATGTTCTATCACTCTAATGTAATTTAACCAGAATAATAATAAAGTTCAGGTAAAAACTGAATAATGTAATTATTGGTTTGCCATAGATAAATAAATATCAAAGAGTACAGAAAAAGTGGCAATATTAATGACACTGATCACAATGTTGCGAGTTTGTCCTTTAAATCATGAGCTTTGCTGTTGTAACCCTAAATCTGAAGTAGCATATGTGGCACTTCATGTTAAAACATAACATGGTTATGTTTTAATGAACATAACTTCATTAAACCTCAGTTTTATCATCTATAAAATAGGAATAATAATATCTAATTTGCATACTTATTTTGAGGCTTGAGTTAATACACAAAATGCTTGATTTTGTGTCAATAAATACCAATTATTATGAACAGAAAAATCACAAGTTCTCCATATTATCACCAAGCACCTTCACATGCTGGAATGGCAAAGAAATCATTCTAGGTGAAACTCAAAGGGTCAAGAGGGGATTGAGAGGGGAGGTGTGTGTGCAAGTGCAAAGCCTTCCCCAGACACACAGGGGTACTGCATGTCTGGAGTTGGAATCCACACATGCATTCGTCATGGCCTCAATTTACCATGTGAGTTTCATCCTCCAAGGTTTCCCTTACAATATCACGTACTTGCTGGAATGTTGCCTTTTGTCCATCTATGTGTTTGACCGACTTCAAGAGTCATTTCCTCCTTCACTATTTTGGAAACCTCCTTCCCTAAGAAAGTTAGCCTTGCCCACCCTATTGAGATCTCTTTTGAGCTCACTGTTTACAAAAATTTTGTTGTTGTTGCTGTTATCTACTGTCCCTACCTGTTACTTACCTTTCCCAAACTTTATGTAGCTTTGTCTGGCTGGATTAACGTTCCCTAGAGGCCATATCGCACATAATTGAGTTTACTAGATAAAAGCAATGGCTCATTGGTTGATATGAAGTGGACTAATGTAGTACATTGAAGCTAAAGCATGGGTTTCTCCCATTCCTTTGTGCTTTAAATTTCCTGTAACTACTTTGCCATTTCAAAGGTTTTTTTAATTCTCTGGGCCACTTATAAGCAGAAACTTTGTGTGACTGAAAAACATTCTCCTTATAGCCTTGATTTTTTTTCCTTAACATATTAACACATTTGTTCAAATTTAGTTTTTAAAATTAGTGCAAAGTTTGTCCATACAGGGAAAAAAATGAATACCACATGAATTTAAATACAAACAGAGGAATACACAGAAGGAAGGGAAATTTTTTCTTGGCTTATCAGAGATCTAGGTGTCATTACTGGATTTTCAGTTTCTTGAAAAGATTGCTTCTTTTTCTGAAAATTTTATTGGCTGAAACTACACCATTTGGATTTGGTGCAGGACAGAAGAGGTATCTTCAGGTGTTCACTTTCTTTGTTTCAACGTCACAGTTGGCATGTGGATTGGTCAAGATAGCAGTCTCTGCAGGCTCTGTCCTTTCACTGGGGAGGTTTCCTGAATAGGGGACTATAGGACCAGCTGAAAGGAACATCAACAAACTAAAAAATAATAGAACAGATCACAGAGAGTTATCACATTGACTCACTAACGAAAATAAATAAATGTATAATACTTTGGGGCCCTACTAATTCTAACCAGTGCAGAAATGGTGCATCACTGGAAAAACCATGGCCAGTTCTCACTGTTAATAATGCTCAGTAATCAGGGAGGCAGTGGCCTTGCCTGAGTGTGTGTGTGAGAAGAGAACATCCCTGGAACTGCTCTGCAACACCTCACTCAGAGAAGTTTCAGGTGTATCCCACAAGGAACTTACTGAAATAGGACACAGAGGGAGAGAACAAAAGACCACAGGACATCAAGGACACAGTCAAGTAACTCCAAGATCTGAGGCAAGATAAAATAGTTGTGGGTAACTGCTTAGTAATGCAGGAGTGGATGGAGTCACGGGAATTGTTATGTGTTAACTGTCAGTTACTTACACTGCTCTTGATATTTCCAATGCCTGGCATAAAACATGGTATGTGATGGGGAAGGAGGAAGACAGAGGCAGAGGAAGAGGAGGAAAAGGGGGAGAAATGACAAAGGAAGAAAGGGAAGGGAGAAGAAACAGACAGATGGAAGGGATGGAATAGGGAGAGAGCAGTCTTCTGAAATGTGGAGGCAGAGACAGAATGTACCAAAGGGAAAACAGGGTGTGGGCATATCAAAGACGTGGAAGCCCACAAGCAGGCTCACTTAACTCAAGAAGAGATACATTGAGTGGTTCCAGAAAATGGGGCGGGGCCATTTCCAGGTGGCTTTGAACAGGTCAAAATTTAAGCCAGTGTGCCCTGTTAGGGTAATTACAAAGGTTTCTGCGGAGAAGAGTACCATGCTTTGAATCCATTGAGTGAAAAGGTTGTGAAACTCAAGGTGTCAATCCATCATGGACGTGCGTGCGTGTGTGCATGCACACGTGCATGCGTGCATGTGTGCGTGCGTGTGTATGGGGGGTGCAGAGCATATTACAAGAAATTACATGAAAGCAAAAAGACTAAAAATAGGGTTTTAAAATAGAAAGGCAGGTGCTTGTCTGGGCTTCCTCTGTGCGGATGTTGAAGGAAAAGGACTTAGGTCTCAGATCGAGAATGTTCTTCTCCTACTGTTCAGCTTTTGCACTCCTCAGCTGTTGCTCTTTTCTGTTATGGCTCTTTCCCAAAAGTGAACTGCAATCTCTACTGTTTCGGCATCAAGGCAAAATATGTTAGTAAATAAAGAACCCAGAGGTGGACCCAAACTTACTGTCCCAGGGCAGCTGTTTGTATGAATACACTGTGGATTCTCGGCTCCTGGGGTTGGTCTTACACCCCCACAGTTTAGCTTCCAGAAATTCTTAGAGCTATAAAAGAATTTACAGCCCAACTAATCCAACCCACTTATTTTTCACATTAAGGTATTTGAAGAGAGGTGAATTAACATTTCTGCCTTTCAGTCTACAAAAGTTGTTGTGAAGGAGATATATTTTACAAGAGGATTTGAATTTAACTAAATCCTATATTGTTAGCCTCTGTATTCCTCTCATACAAAGAAGGTGCACAATGAGTTAACCCCATCAAAAGAGACACACCATGACATACCCCTGCTTTCTGCCCTAAACACATCGAGCACACTGAAGATGTTAGTTCTCTAACTGCCAGATACCGTGTTTTTCTCCCTACAGCCTGCAGAATACCGTAGGGTTAGATGTTGTTAGTAGGTATTTTCCTGTGCTAACTGAACACACAAAAACTCATCCTGGATGAGTAACTAACTGCCCATCTTAATGGGCTTTCAAATTTATTAATCGAGAACATTTACAGGGAGGACAGGGCTAAGCTTTGGATACACACATTTAAGACTTACGAATAAATGAAAATGCTGGAAAATGCTTTTTATTAAGGAAGAGCATTCCACATAAGATTTTTGTGACTCATTTGGATAGTTAACAAAGGAAACTCCCCAAATTCATGAGTATATAAAAAAAATTGCACTGCTTGTTTCATTATTAAAGAGAATTTTGAAGAATAAATAGTATAAATATAGTGTCTTGTTACATATTTTACAAATCATAGGGTCTGCAGACCCTGTGTCCACTTAACTGGAGTGAATAATAGCTGGTGTCACTTCAGCAAGCACCTCCCTTGGACTCTTCTTTGTTTCCCGAAGACATAAACATAAACTGAGACTCTTATATGTTGATTGTTTAACATCCTTTTGTGATCTGATGTGATCTGTGTTTATTCTCTGAATTGGCTCTAAGAACTTTTCATTTACTGGGCACAAGGTAAATGCCAAGTGCCAGGCTGACCACTAACTCGCTGTGGCTCTGTCCAGGTTTTTCTGTAACAGGTAGAGCTCCGGGGGCTGTTTGGAGGCTGCTCTTCAGTGGAGCCTCCATAGTCTCTGACACCAAGTCGAGATACCAAAAGGGGGGCTGGTATTAGTGCATAAATGACCTAAAGCAGAGTTTCAGCTATTCAGCATGTGCCATTTCATTTCAAACAGAGGGATGGGCAAAAAAGGAAAAAAATTGTTTATTATTGTTATTCTTTGATTAAATTAAAATTACTATCTCTGCCTAAGGCCATTTCCCTGGCATTTTGTTTCATTATTCCAACAAAGGAAATGGATTTCTTATGAATAAGATTTACTATTCTAATATTCTCCTTTACTTCATCTTGTCCAAAGTCAGGATAAAGACCACATCAGAAAGGAGTATCTAGTGTGTTACAAATAATGTAGGTGTTCCCGGTGGTAATCCTTCTAAAGATTATTAATTTCCAACATCAAGGTCATATACATTCATTCATGCACAAGAGCACAGACCATAGAGCCTTTTTATTCTTATATTAATTAACAAGGAATTAAAAAAATAAGCTGACTTAAAAAGCGTTCCACTCAGGAGCCATTTCAAATGATGAGAAATGCCCAGGGGTGGGGCAAGAGGGGATGACAAACTCAAGTAGGCAACATGTAAAGCAACATACAACTATATGCCCATTAGTATAATTACACATTGCAAATTATATCGGATGCATCTAATATCTAATTTTTTGAAAGCTGATTCCACTTGAGACTTCAATAACAGCATCAACATTTTGCAGGTGGCTCCTTCTGTATAGTATCCAAAGGGAATTATCCCTCTAATGTGTTTACAACGCTCAAGTAAAAATGGGAGCTCTCTCTTAAAAGACCAAGTGAGTAAGGGACACTGGGCATTTCACCTTGATTAAGGAAAGGGGGAGAGTTCCAACCTACATAATATTGACCGTGGTTATTTATTGTGTTCCTTCTGTGCACATGATACACAATTGCTTCAAGCAGTAAGGAATTTAGACATCAGCCTCACTAGGAAGTATGAGAGAGGCTATATTTTGAGGCAACCTAAGGGTTGGCAATATTTTAGATGAATGGATAAAAGAGAAATGTGCAACGGAAGGACATACTACATCTTGGATTGAAAACAGAAAGCCCTGCATTAAATTCAGCTCTTCTAAAACATACAATTAATTTGCCCTAAAGAGGACACCAAATCAAAGCTCTACTTTGAGGAACAGGCTTTTGTCCTCATCTTTCTGTATGAATCAATCATCAAATAACCAAAATATATTTGTGATCCTGGAGAATGAAGCATATTATTCAAGTTGATTGGATCCATTTTCTTGATTCCTCCTTAAAGATCTTTCTGCTAATTAGTCAGGGTTGCCATTGAATTATTTAATTATCTACACTTTTGTGCAATGAAATATGTTGTCATATCACATACTTTATCATGCTGTTGCTGTTCACACTTAATGATGCCTCTATAGTTAGCAGTTTCCTTTGTTCTGCTCCGTAAGTGCTTTAGAAAGAGCGTGGGCTGGGAAGGAGGAGCCTTGGGGTTTGTAAAATAAAATCATAGATTTCTGGTGCACACGCAAAACTTTATGCATTTACATGAATTTCATTTTAGATATTAAGTTGCAATTCCATTTGGAGTAAGCTCTAAGGCACGTGTCCATAACTGTGAATGCAGCCTCAGCAACATAACTGTACCTCGCCGCCTCTCTGGTGCATATTCACTGCAGTGCAATGGGAAAAGGACGATTTAATTTTTTTAAAGCAGCAAGGAATGTCTTTAACAAGGAAGAAGTAAATTATGATAATTACTCTGAATGGTTGGATCCTTGAGCATTACTAATTAGCATTTATTGCCTGGATTATAGAACAATACATGTGAAACCGAACTGCGATTGCTCTTTTACGTTGAAGACTTGAAAAAGCAATGGAGCAAAAAGCCAGTGACATCACTAGTTTAAGTCAGTAGTTTACGTCTCCTTGGTAGTAGGTACAATTTCTCACTTTGAAAACACAGATATGGTCTGCAATATTTACGGTCCACTCATTTTTCCCCTTTTTGTATTAGGCATATATGTACATATGATACTATAGTTACGGTAGGCTAATAAAAGGTGAAACGTTTTGGCTAAAATAGCATTTGGGAGAATTTTATCAGTTGCAAGATTTTAACAGTAAAGGTTCTAAAGCCTGCTTTTCATTAAAATAAGAAATCTTCTGGTAGAGTTTTGACTTAAAAATGAAACAAAGACCTCTGTTGTCACTGAATAAAATTTTATATTTATTTCTCCATTTTTTTTTCTCCTGGAGGCACTATGGTGGCAAATAACAGAAAAGACAATTGGTTCCTGGCTTAAGAGTCTTTTTTTCATTAGGAATTTGCAATAAAATAGATTCTGAAATCAGAAAAAAAAATAGATGTTAATCAAACAGACCAATACAAGTCACAAAAATAAATGCCACTTGTATAATTTGGCAACTGAAATTCTTAAATAACCCGGCAGGTAGGAGGAGAGAAAAAGCAAAAATGAGCCATTCCTCATTCTCCCTGCAGTCTGCTTTCCTCCACACCCCATCATCCTGAATGAAGAGAAAAAGAACATCGTAAAATATAAATCCAGCACTAAAGACAGTTTCTGGTCATCCCAATACCTTCCATGGCTTCCCTATCCTGATCCTTTTTAGTTTGAAAGAATAAGTTTGACTAAATCTGTGAAGAGATTAAGCAGGCTGCTGATAAAAATTAATTCTGCTGAATGAGCAAATGCATTTGGATTGCAGAGATGCAAATAAGATAATACTTTTCTTTTCCTTTGACATACCAGCCAGATTAGTTTAGAATGTTAAATTTGATTGTATTAGAATATATTAGCAGTGTTTTAATTAATACCAATCAAACATTTTCTTTCCCTGGGGCTTCATGTGCTCTTACTCTTTCTAAATCATCATTATTTTGCCCCCAGCAAAAAATAAAATAAAATAAAGTAAAATACAACAAACACTACCAAATCACCAAAACCTTTTGTTACAGCCTTCATAATTTTACTGTATTCAATGGAAAAGTAAGTCTAAACTCTTTAACTAAAGGTGCTCTGCCCATAAAATCTGTTTCCAGGTGCTAGATTTAAAGCAAGTACTGTTCACTGGTACGCTTCATTTTAAAAACGAGTAGAAAAACTGGAGGCTTAAAAATAGGTATCTTCCCTATTTTTCATTTGGGGGAAAAATGTTGCAACAGGGATCTTGGCTGGTGCGTACTTGGCCTTGTTCTCACCCGCTAGAGCTGCATTGGTTTTGAGCTGGCATTTCTTTGAAAACCGAGGCAAAAATAAATAAATAAAAATAAAAATAAAAAATTTAAAAAGGCGGGGGGACCTAGTTAGCAATCTGGCGAGCCAGTGCACCCTGTGGGCTGAATTGTAACTGTGTTCCAAGGAGGTGCTCGCCGCATTCCACTCATTATCTTCCCTTTCTCTTGAGCTTCCTGTCCTTCTGTGTCCGAGGGCTCCAGTTCACTCGCTTCCCTTTTCTTCCCCCAGCGCCCCCCCACCCCAATTCCCCGCCTTATTTTTTTTTTTTATCTGCCAAGCTGGATTTGCACTTTTAAAGATCAGTATCAATAATACCCTGCTTGTTTCGGTCGCACTCTCCCTTTAAAAGACAGCCCCCTCTAATTGATGCGTCTGGGCTAGTCTAGACTGGTAGTGATTGAACCAACCACCAATTATGTTATTCATTTCACTGAACTTCACTGATGGGCTTAGGGAGGAAGAAGGGGTGTTGAGAAACCTGCCCTTGCAGAGAAGCAGTTGCTTGCAGAAATATACAATCTGTGTGTTGTATGCACTCCTAAATGTCTGGGTGATCAGTGGCATGATAGCAGCCTCAGAACACGAGCAGTGCACTTGAAAACATGTAAAAAACCCAGAGTCCTTTGGAATGCAAAGGGAAACACTTGTATTAAATTACTACTCTGCTATCATTTAAAATCACAGGAGAATTACATAGCGCATGTTTTTATTGATCCGTGCATATGATTCCACAGGATAAACTACAGATATATGCTGACTTCCAAAGGACCAAATGTTTTGCAAATATTTCATGTGAATCATGTGGCAATATATATCTATAAAGTTAAATAGAAGCCTTGCCATAATTTCCAAATATCTATGCATGCACATCAGCTGTGATGGGAGGTCATCAATTCATTTTAGATAAAGTAAAGATTACACAAAAATTGAATAACTTTTCTTTGAAGCATGTTCTCACTATCAAAGACTAGAAGGTAGTATTTAAATATCACAGCTACGCATGGAGTTTCAACAAAAGACAGTATGATTGTGTACAGTTCAGTCTTCTCAGTTCAGTCTTCTGATACAAAACGGTTTCTGCAATTTGGAATCAATGACTGAAATTGCAATAAACACTTTTTAAAAAAACAGGAAAACAACATTTGCTTAATCTTCGACTACGTGTATCTATAAAATGAGGTTACAACAAATATAAGATCTTTAAAACAAGACATTTGAAGTCAGGGTTGATTCTGGTATTTTCTTAAAAAATGTTAGAGAAAGGTTGTGTCAGGAATAATAAAACTGTTTCAACAAAATTGTATTCTGGAATTTTTCACAACAAAGGAAAGGTAAGTTACTGTTTCCCTTTGCCAATCATGAAACAAACCTAAATCATTGAAATTATTCTGCTATAAAAAGTTCCAGCTCCAGAAAACGACAAAGTAAGCAATGCTAACAATTACCACAAAAAAGGATAATTTTGTGTTTGATATCATAAATAACTTAGTGTTTGGTGTTATGAATAACTTTGTTGCATCAAATTTAAACCCTGATAAAATGTTTGCCAGTAAAAAGTATTGATTACTCCTTAAAAACACAGTAATTATTGTTTCTTTCATTTCACATATTTCAAAAATGTATTTCTAATCCCTATCACTTTTAAATTCAATTGCAACAGTTTTTAAAAGGTACCACACAAGGAGGCAATATCCCTTTTGTTTTATTTTTTTAAAAAAACTTGAGAAGTAATACAAATTTAATCTTAATTAATATCATAGATTCCATCCTTTGTGCAGAATAGCAAGAGTGGAATTTTAAACTATTAGTATTTTAGCCCAAACTACTTGTTCGTTCTGTGTGAGTGTGGCGATCACTGTCTGCCCATATATGATACACGTGTGACCACTACACACACCACATATCCTTACGCCCATCTTAATGGGGTACAGTTTTTGAGATTAACTGTTGAGCTTAAAAGTTGGAGGCATGGGGCATGCTGGGAATTCAGCAGAAATGTTCTGAGGTCAAGCACCAGGTACTGAGCGGTTCTTGTTACGCTCGGATAGTACTGCGTGTTGCTCTCAAGGAAAAGTTCCACAAGCCTCAGGCATCAGTAATGTACAGACGCATACACAGCAGCCCACGCGCGATTCTAACCCTGTATATGCCTATTTTAATAAGAATTTAGGAGCTGCTGCTTCTGGTCACCTGATCTCATCTAACAATGAAAACCTCAGAGGTGAACTCAGCAGCTTCAGACAAACTTTCTTTTCTTTTTTACTTAAAAAAAAAAAAAAAAAAGTTCCACCAAATTTCCAAGATGTGAAGGCACGACTCGCAGCTCCCAAGAGCCTAACCCGTGGATTTAAACGGTAAACATCACAAGTTAGGGTCTCAGGGACTGAGAGGAGCGCAACCGATTTTTTTCTTTCTTGAGAGAAAACAAAGCAAAAGAAGAATGAGAGGCGATTTCTGTTCCAAGGTCACGACAAAAAGGCAACAAACAGGTGTTAGGATCTGTCCTCGCTCCCTAACCTCCCTGCCTCCACAAAATTGAGGTCACATTTAAATATCATCTATACATCCAAGCATCCGCAAGAGTTGGAGGTGCATATACATACCTGCACATACAACTGCCAGTCTAGCACAGAAAACTCTTTCACGCTTTGGGCAAAACATTTTACTAAAATGGAAAATAACATAAATAGATATAGAAATGCTCGTGTTTTAAAAAACCATGATCTGCAATCCATATTAAAATGTCTCTTCAAAGCTTTCATTTACAACGCGTACAAATGACTGAGAAGCACATATGAAGCCTCTGGTTCCCCCGGGGTAGGCATGCCGCATGCAAAATCACAGAAATCGGATTTCTGGGAAGCGAAGACCGAGAGGCAGGATTCGGAGACTATGAAAATATTCATGTGCAGAGCGTTTTAAACTCACCCATTTGAAGCGGAGCGGGGCTGCTCGGCCTCCAGGAGCAGCGGGGAGCCAGGGGAGAAGTGAGCTCGCAGCGCTATGCTGGGCGAGGTGTTTCAATAGCGGACCGAGGACAGGGCGGCGCGGAGGGGGAGGCGGGGGCAGGAAGCGATACACCAAATCTAGAGACTGTAACTCTGGAGTTTATGCGCTGAGGGGAGAGGGAACCAGGCAGCTGGGTGGGAGTGGAGGGAGGGGCTGGTGCGGATCAAATTTGGAAAATATTCAGTTAAAATTTGTTTTTGAAAAAGAAAAAGCAAGAGGGGGAGAAAAAAAAAAAAAAAGAAGAAGAAGAAGAAAAGAAGGAGGAGGAGACACACAGAACCTCCCCGGTGCTGCTTTAAATTTTTTTCTCCTTTCTTTAGCACGCACCTTGCCAGCCCTGCAAACCCTGCAAACCGGGCCCTCCTCTGCACCAGCTGCTGGGCTGCAGCGGAGGCCAGAGCGGCGAGAAGAGCTGGGAGCTGTCATCCCGGAGACTCCAGCAGGGAAGGGGTGGGTGCGCCCTGGGGATCCAGCCCCCACCTCCCGCTGCGGATGCTGCGGCCAGGGTTTTAGAGGAATCCGGAGCATAATTCAACTCCATCTTCGCAGGAGCTCCTGGTTCTCTACCTGAGAGACAGTCGCGCTTCCCCATCCTGCTGGGACCCGTGCTCTCCCGTGCTGCTTCCCAAAAAGAAAAAAATGAAAGCAAAGGCAGCTGGGAAGTGCGAAGCAAGAAGACTGTCTTTAAACATTCTCTTCCTCTGTTTCTTTTCTCCTTTAGCGCACTCCGAGCCTGAGCAAACCAGACGGCTGGCTAGTCAAAGAGAATGACAAAGCACCCATAGCCGGCCAGGCACTGGAGGGATCTCCGCGCTTAGAAAAAACATGTGAAATATTTTTAATATATTTCCACATGCTCCAGGTTCCTCGGCTTCCCCTCCCCCTTTGAAAAATAGGATCATGCTGCCACGACAGCCAAATTGTATCCCTTTTCCCTCTGTACAGGATCTGTTCAGCACCCCCCACACACTCACACACACACACACACACACACACACACACACACACACACACACCTTTTTTTTCCTCACCTCTGTAGGTTCTTCTCAAGCACAAGCCTTCGTTCAGTTTAGGATCCTTCCTTTTTCTGTCCCTTTCCTCTTCCCTTTCCTCTCAGAAAAGCCAGTCCGTCATGATTATACCTAGTCTCTCTGTCTGTCCCTCCCTCCCTCCCTCCCTCCCTCCGTGTGTGTCTCTCTTTTCTTTTACTATTAAAAATAATACTAATACTAACCCTTTCGACACAGCAGCATGAAGTGGCTGCCTTTGAGAAAGCACATTTAATCTTTCCTGGCTCCCCTAGGCTTCAGTGAAGAAGGAGAAGGTGGGGGGGGGGGGAAGGAGAGAGAGAGAGAGAGAGATTGTAAGGGAGGCTGCTGACGGACAGCAAGCATCAGGCACAAATCAGCGACAAGTTGAATTTTCCTAGACCACACTGCCCCCTTTCTTCTCGGCTCTCTCCCTGGGCTCCTGGAAAGCTGCAGTGTCTGGTTACAGGAGGTAACGGGTCTCCCTTTGCCAACCATGGTGCAGATTCCTCGCGTGCCTGCTTAAATCTCCGGCAGAATAAGGAATCAATATCCCCCTCTAATCACCTTTAGCTCCTCTATGGCTTCCCTGCTTTTCTGAGAATCCACTTGGCTCTCAGCGCCGCTCCCCGCCCCGCCATGCTCCTCCATACAAAGCTCAGCGCCCTGCCCTGTCATTTCTCACTTCCTTCCATATCTTGGAGACAAGCCTCTTCTAATATTCTCATTCATTCTTATTCTCTCTCTCTCTCTCTCTCTCTCTCTCTCTCTCTCTCTCTCTCTCTCTCTCTCTCTCTCTCTCTCTCCTCCACCCTCCTTGCCTCCCTCCCTCCCTTCCTCTCTCTTCATCCTCCTCCTCCTCCTCCGTGGTAGTGTGTCTCATCCCAGACTCACAGCACCGGATGCTCTTAAGCATCTCCCTGACTACTAATGAGACCAAAAATACACCAGCAGGTCAGGGGGAAGGCCAGACATTGTATTACACAAATTCAAAAAAATCCTCAGCCTGTTAGACCAAGAGATCAGGTATCACATTTTCTAAAAGGGAGGGGAAAAGGCGGGAGGGTGGCGGTCCAGGAGCAAAGAAGGGAGACCTCAGTGCACGCCTTGCTTAATGGTTTGGCAGCATCCTGCACCCATGAGTGCAGGTGATACATTTTGTGAATCTTGGTAGATTTTTTTATGGACAGAAAGTCCACAATGCCCACCACTTCTTTGAAATAAGCATTTAGAGGGATAGACGAGCAACGACTCAAATCTATATTTAAGATACATAGACACTCTCTGGGCTTGTAGTGGCTACAACGCTAAAAATCTCTTTCCTTTCAATGTCTGGGTTTCGCTTGTTGATTGTAGTTGTAATCGGCACTAATTTACCATTTCAGTTCCCTTAGATTTTGAAATACACTCATCACTCTCTGCAGCTCAGCCTAACCCTTTGCTGCCACTGCAGGCATTTTCTTGATTGCTGAAGCATTTTTCTTCTCAAATGTCCATCAGATACATACACACTTCATTGATCAGCCTAAAATCCCTAGATAATGACAAGTAATATTTCAGGTACAAAAAAGAGGCATAAGAAAAAAAAAAAAAAAAAGGAAGCTATCTCCAGTTGAGTAAGAGGGCATCTCACATCATATCCATTTTAAAACCTCTATGACACAGTGACCTTCTAAAGCAAGTACATCTTGAAAATTAGGGTCTCTACCTATCTATATGCACAGTGGGTACGTGGCCATTGTAACCCAGTTTTCCCAGCTAGAATCAAGCAGACGACGGGCAGCACTGTGTTAAATAGAATGTCAGGTTCTGTAAATAGCAAGAGAGCAGAGTTTCCTCCAAGTCCATGTTTTTCAAAGGTAGCGTCTTTGTGTGCAACTCAGACGTACATTGTGCTTTGTCTCTGACAGTAAGACCTGCAGAAGCTCGGCTGGATGCCAAGAGAAAGGAAAAGAGAAAGCACACATGAGACGGAGAAACAGAAAGAGAAACCAGAGGAGAGGAAGACAAACAGAGTGAGAAATAAAAAGAACAACCTATGAAGCGTTGCATTTTTTTTAATACTTTTTTTCTTTTTGTCATGGTTGGGAAGTAGATGGAGATTTGTCAAGGGATGGTGACTGGGTCAGAATCCCTCAGATTTGGTGAACAGGGTGTTTGCACTAGACTGACAGAGAAAAAAGAAACATGCTAGAATAATCATAAAGGGTGGAGCTGTCAAAAAAAAATCTTTGACTCACAGGGTGCCTCCCTGTAACGCCAAAATGAATCATTCTTAACTAGAATCATCAACTGTCTTAGTGTACTTGTGTAATAAGGCCAGCACATATGCTCCTGCACCCATTCTCACAAAGGAAAGGTAGAGAGCGAGATTTCCTAACTTCTCTGTATTTGTGACAATAGTCCAGCCTGATTTGCACATACTATGCTGATTTGCTGCATTCACTCTACTTACAAAGATTTACAAATATATGACTTATGAAAGTTTTGGTACGAGCACATCATTTTCTCCATACAACTCAGCGATGCCTTTGGAGGATACTTATTTCAAGCAGTTAACACCTGACCCCAATTTCTGTGGGTAATTAGTGAGCTAGATAACCACACAAAGTGGGTAATTATTTAGTACCCCAGGGTACGCTAGAAGTGGGTAGTGGCTTTGTTAACAAAAGCATATCTCTAATTATTGTATCTATGATGGGTGTTTTAAAAATACCAGTTACTATATCAAGTGAACCATGAGAAATAAGTGAACTATTTTGCTGTCCTTAGCATATACATGTGTATCTTCTCTCATGGTTAAGAATATTTACCTCTGTTGTATGGAGAGTTGTGAAGATTAACTAGTTAACATCTGTATGTGCTAGAGAGCTTCCAAACACGGTATTACAATGGTTATTATTACTTTGGCTACTAACCCCTGGGTGGGAGAAGCCTAGAGAGGAGATGCTATTGTCTGGTATGTGTCTTGCTCTGAAAATATGCTGAGATCACAAATGTAATGAGTATGGCTATGGGCTTGGTCCCTGACTTGGCAGAGTGTAACAAGGTTTCAGCAGAAAGGCGGATGATACTGCAGGGATGGCAGGCTCAGGTTGGAGTAGGGGACCGAGGGGTAGGCCGTGGGGACAGGGAGGAGCAGAGAGAGTCAGTGATGTGCCAAGAAGGAAGCTGAATCAGCTGGGCCACACCCTCCTTCCCAAGTCCTTCTCTCTTTCTCTTTGAGGAGCAGCAAATATGAATAAAAGTCCCCAAAGAGGCTGTCTGTGTAAGTCCTGGGACAAGCGTAGCCTCATGGAAATCCATCAGCCAGCTGCGTAGCATTCATTCTGGAGAAGGACCATCAGCACGAATCAGTTTAACAATGCAGAGACATTGTAAATATTACAGGGTTGAGAATAGAGGTGCACAGATCAGCCTCGGATATCACTAACCCAGGATATGAGCAGTGATGAAGGAGCACTTTCCAATTTAATTGCTTTTATGAATCACCCCAGGAGGGAAAATTGTTGCTGAGAAAGAAAGAAAGAAAGAAAGAAAGAAAGAAAGAAAGAAAGAAAGAAAGAAAGAAAGAAAGAAAGAGAAAGAAAGAAAGAAAGAGAAAGAAAGAAAGAAAGAAAGAAAGAAAGAAAGAAAGAAAGAAAGAAAGAAAAATAGAAAAGAGGGGGAAAAGAAAAGATTACCCCATGCTTTTGAGGACCCTAATTCTGTAAGCGACCAAGCCTTGAAAGTAACAAACAACAGAAACTTACAGCTCTCTCTGTGAATGTCCATCTCCTCGAGCTGCTTGGCTGGGTCTGGCAGAGGCAGGACAGACTGGGGCCTCTGGGATCCAAATTTCAAGTAGACTCACCACATATTTTCTTTCAAAGCAAGGTTGTCCTGGGGATTAACCCTAGGGCTCTGGGAGAGGCAAGCTGTGGGAAGGGTAGAGGAGTGTGCAGAGAGATCGGGTTCAGCCCAGGGGATGGCTTCTGGGACACAGGAAGGGGAGAGTCAGTCAGCCAACAGGTACCAATGCCGAAATCTGCTGGCAGGCGGCCTCCAAGACACGTGTTTATGCTGTGATTGGAGCCCAACATGTGATGAGCACATTTCAAGAGTTTAGGAGCCGGGAGGAAATTTCTCCAAAAGCCACTCAGGCCAGGCTTCTGACCTGAAGCCCAGTATTTGTCACCCCTCTCGGAGCTGAGCACTACAAAGGCTAACTGGCATTCTCTAACCCGCCCAGCTCCTTTCAAACCCACAGACTGTGCCAGACCGGCCCCACCTCCCACTGCAGCAAATTCTGTAGCCCCGCTCCATGCTGTGCTGTAAGGAGCCAGATTTCCGTTTTAATTGTCCTACCTGGCCGGCTCCTCTGCCACTGCCCCCTGGCTCTGGGCTCCTGGCATGGTTTCAAAGGCCCAATCAATGGCTTTCCCTTTTTCTATCATAATTTCAGCATCTCTAATTTTTACTACCCCAAATCTGATCCCTTTCAAAGGGAACCATTTTTCTTGTTTTTCTGTTTCGTTCAATCTGGGCACCGCACTACCTTTCTTTGGCTTCACTCCCTGTCTTGTTTGACATTTTTGACTATGTTCTTTCTCACGTTATGGACGAACTCCGAAGTCAGGTGCTGACCCTTTCCCTCTCCCCCTCCTCACTATATTATCGTAGACAACAATTCAGTTTATCGCAAGTACTTCTTCAATGCTCACTCGAAAAGAGCTAAAGCCAGCAGAGAACAGGTGCACGTGGATGTGTGTGCGTGTATGTGTGTGTATGCGCACGTGCATGTGTGTGTATAAATCAAAGTGCTCTAACTCTATGTGTGCAACAGAGAAGGCTGTTGCGTACATAAGTGGGCAGAAGGAAGAACAGAGAAAGGAATCTGGTGTATGTGTGACTATCTGGAGGAAAACAATGAGGGCTCATAGAAGGCTGCAGAGTATGATACTGTGAGTGGATGCACACGCACACACACGTGCTTGCACGCACACATGAGCGTGCACACACACACTTTTATACTCTATGTCAAACATCTGCAGGAGCAGCTAAATCACAATACCCTAAGATTAGCTGACAATAATGAAAAAGTTTTTACCATACTGTGAATGAATAGGGTTTTGCAGCTGAGAGCTGACTGCGAAAGCTCCAGGGTGGAGCGGAAGAGGAAGAGTCTCCCACAGGTCATCCACCTCCCTCACCTTGCCTTGGCTTAGCAGCTAAGGACTGCCAAAGCACCTCTCTTTATTTCCAGTGCACTTTGAAGTTTATTATTGGCATCTATCCCTCAAAGTACTTGTTCTGTGAACTACTACTGAGGCATTTATTGCTTTAGCATTGCAATTCTGTTCTCCGTGATTCCTCTAATGGCTACCATTGAGGGTCTTCTATGTCTCTGTCATGGATAACTAATTACTCAGCCCTCAAACCAGCCTTTAAGGTATCATCAATATTTCTCAGATGCACAGAGTGAGGTACAGAACAATCAGAACGACCTGCCTTATGTATAGCACTGCTAACGTTTGATTCTAGATCCAGCTGTGGAAGCACGGTCTTTCCTTTGCCTCATATCCTTTGTTCTGTCTCAGGATAAATAATACTCTCTATTGTTGGTCTCTCAAGCTAGCTTAATTTTTCCTCTGTGCTTCCCTTGGCACCTTAGCCTTATTAATCTTAGCATTTGTTCATTCTTTTTACTTTGCAGATTTTATCCAATGCATAGTTACTGAGTACTTAGGTATATAGCAGGTAATGTGCTAGGCAGTGTAATTTCCTTAGCTAGAGCACAGGAAATGATGCATCTTCTACCTACTATGCTATATCTACTTTTAACTCTAAAGTAATGAAGAGTGGCAGAGGCAGGGCCCTCTGTATTCTCAAAATGAGGCACGGCACCTGCCATGTGGCACGGGCTCCTTAACTGTGTCTGAATATGTTTTCATTAATATTGTTTTGGTCACAGTTTCCAGAGAGAGCAAACTTCATATGTAAATGCCCTTCAGAAAAATACCAAAATGCCAAACCAAAGGAACATTTAAGAAATGGTGACTTGCAGGCTTCATTTCTAAAACTCCTCTGGCTGAGGTCCTGCTTGGATTTCAGCAAAATCAAAAATTGGTCTGCTTAATTCTTTCTGTGAGTTGCAAAATCCTGACATTTCTTGTTTGAAGTCCTCCAAACTGTCTAAACTCTCACTGATCTGTGGATGAGAAGGTTATAGTCAAATGACAGCGTGCAGGGTGACACAGCATGAAGGACTATTCTGGGCTGTGTGGAGGAAGGGGTGGCTTATACACCTGAGCATGTGTGGGTGAGTCCAGAGCTATGCTAAGCAATCCAGCTCTGATGTCCTCATTTCAAAAAAAAAGAGGCTGAGAAGCCAGAAATGGTTCATGACCATCTGACCTAAATGACTTCAGGGTTTTATGAAGTATATTCTGAAAAAGATTAGACTACTCCTTATTTTGCCTAAGGAAAGAATATTTCAAGTACCTATAATTGCCATCCTTGGCAGGTTAGCATCTATCCTAGCCTTTTTATTTAACCAACAAAATTTTCATATACTTACTACTGAATCAATTTACTGTGCAGAGCATAGAAACAGAGAAAAAGTGCAGTGGTGATGTTTGCAGCTTGCTTAGATGACACTGATCTTAATGCAATCTTAGTGCCATCACAAAGGCAATGCCTTGTCCACCCAGCTTGGTGCTTCTCCAGTGTCTCTTCTCTTCTTGGAGCTGCACCTGATTTTATCACCAGTGTTCATCTGAATCCATCTGTGAAGGGGACAGCATTGCTTCCATTTCCTGGGGATTAGTAGATCCCAAAAGTCTTGCGAGAACACATGTGGGGAACAAAGTCAGAAGCACACGTCATGACGGTGGAGACGAGAAGGAGAGATGGGCTGCAAAGGTGCTCAGGAGTCTGTGCTGGGGTGGAGGCATCCTGCTCATCATCTAGTCAGTCTGTGTCTCTAGGGCTGGGCAAGAGAGACTTCAGTATCATCACTGTGTCCTTCCTTATCATGTTCGCCTGTTTGACATCACTGGATTTGGTTACCAATAAGTACTGTCTTCACTAGGCTGGATAATTTGTATCACATCAATCCAGAGCATAGTTCATAATGATATATCCCTTGGGGGTTAGTGAAATTTCTGGAGGCCAAGCTGGATGCATCGCTAGTCTTTCTGCTTTAAATGTGCTTAAAATGTAGATTCCCCCGCAGGACCCTCTTGCTAGCTAACTGCTCTTCATGGAAAGATGAGGAAGAGGATGCCTATTTAGGTACAGTTGGGTCAGCAAAGCCCTTTTTGTAAAGTAATAAGATTTTAAACCAATAGAGAGCAGAAAGTGGTCCAGGCACTCCACAGTTCCAGTGGTTTCAAATGGAACCATCTGTCCATTTACAGCTCAAATTCACACCAGTTCTAAGTGTCAAACTAAGCAGTGTCAGGCTCAATTCTTGATTTTATTCTTCTAGTAAGATTTTTTTTTTTGCTTTTATTAGCTTTTTAGGGTATTGGGGAAAAGTCAATAATTCATTAGTATGGTATTATTTAATCATATTTATTGATATGACTATGTAAAATAATTCTATTACTTTCTTCTCATTAAAGGACTTTCCCTGGCTTGTAGCCTAACTTCATAAAAAGGCCAGAATTTATCTAATGGACCCATATAGTCTTTGTGGTTGTCTGCAAGGTAGTCTATGGTCCACTGATTGTGCGTCTGGCTTGACATATTTGTAGCAAGTTCAATTCAACAGTCTTAGGGGCTATGGAGGTGAGAGATTAAAGTTCCCACATTTCTATAATATTGAGAAGAGAAAGAGAGCTGAGAGAAAGAGGAAGGAAACAAGGGAGGGATGAAAGGAGAGAGGGATAGAAGGAGAGAGGGAGAGAGACACAGAGACAGAGAGAAAGAAATCCGGAATGTGACATGCCCATTACCTATGCACTAAGAAGAGTGAGCCCAACATTGTGAAAATCATTATTCTTGGCTGAAGGATGTCATCTAAGAGCCAAGTTCTATTTCGGTCTAGGTTCCCTGCAATTCTGTTATTAGGCTCAAGTTAGCAAACAAAAAGGCATATTTCTGTCCTTTTGAACCTTTAAAGATTGCGATTACGAGGCCAGGAGTCTAGAGATGATATTCAAGCAAGGATACAGGCCAGGGATTTGGTTTGGACTCACTCTTATAGTTTTTGAAACTGTTGTGCGTAGCCTGGAGATAACAAGGGAGAAAGGTGAGGAAAGGCTCACGTATGGGAAGCCAGGAGTTTCTCAGCCCAGATCCAGTCCTAGGGCTCCCAGGGCTCCTAGAGACTTTTGGCTGACCAGATTAGTGCTTTTAGAAGATTGGGTCCCTTTCGTTGTATGCATTTTCCTTGGACCTCTAAGTATCCTTCAAGGTATAAGCAGGAAGACAGGCAGGAGAGGACTCATCATTAAGGAGAAGCTGGATTATGATGCAGATTTTAAGAGTCACTTGCCTTTTCAAGTCATTAAAAAATTCAAGGTTCAGCTTCATTTCTAGACTTTCAGAATTTTCAGTTTTGTGGAGTCTTTTGTTGTTGTCATCTTATCAATCATTCAGATTTTGAAGGTTTGGGATCAAGAGAGGGAGAAACAACCCTCAAATCATAATTCTTGTTTCACAGGTGGGCACTGAGGCAGTTAACAACTAACCATATTTCCCAGGATGGTTGCGAACAGCACCAAGCCCAGAATCTAAGTCTCAGGCCACCCCTTGTGGGGAAGGAATGAGCTTATATGTACAAATCACCTTGAATTCATTCAAAGGATGGGTTCACACAAATCTGAGGCATCATTAATAATATTCACGCCTTAGGTACTTTGGTTTCCTCATTATTAATGAAAACTAGCACAGTAAGGAAGAAGTTCAGTGACATGTGATTTAACTCACTCAAACATTTATACAATAGTTAAGAGTTTCAAAATGGGTGTGCAGACTTAATAAAATTAAAAGAACGCAGAAACAAAATTTGAGACATAGTTTTGTGTCCAAGGTGCTGCAACACGATCAGAATTCCTGTTGCGATTAAAAGAGTAATACAAAGGAACACTCTGGGGAGAAGCCAAGGAATATTTTAAAGGTGGAAACTGCTACTTCAGAGATTTTAAATTTGGCACATTCGACACTTCTCAAGGAGTCTCTGTCTGCTACAAATAGCAAGGATGTGAATACCAAAAGATTTGTGTCAAAGCAAGCTAGCATTGTCTTCTGGGTTGTGCTGTTTTAGCTTTCATGGATATTGAACCACAAACCCTAATCCAGACCAGAACTGGGCAAACCACATACAGTCTGTAACCAAGATGTTCCTCATCGGGAGGATCTGGAGGAATCAAAATATATGTTTGACATTCTTAAGTCTTTAAAGATTAGTTGTGATGTTTTAACTACCCAACCTGATTCTTCAGTTTCTAGGACTGTCATCTATATGTTTAGCTTCTCATGATCATTAATGTATTAAATTAGGACAGACTGTGTGTTGATTTTGATTTTACTGACAGAATTGTACCTGCCACATAACAGGACTTTTACAAATGATTACTTAGTACTGTTGGGACTTTAATGTAGTTCTAGGTGATAATATTACAGAGCTCAGACCACTCAGCTGATTAAAAACAGATAAACAATCTTTAACTGAGGATTTTCCCTTTCCCATCACGAGCTCAATTATCCAATGTTTACATCTTACATTTATAGAAAAGGAAGGAGGAAAAGTGCTTTTAACATAAAGCAAGGGGCTGGGGGTTTAGCTCAGCGGCATAAGCACCTGCCTTGCAAGCAGGCGGTCGTGAGTTCGATCCCCGGTACCGATAAAAATGAAAAAGACAAAAAAAAAAAAAAAAAAAAAAAAAACAAAAAACATAAAGCAAGTAAAAATCAGACTGGCATTCCGATTCTAGGTAAAACCTTAACACAGTACTTTGGATACGTCTAGTAAACTTTTAGGGGTGTACATGTCAATATGTTTTTAAAAACAAAGAAAACAGAATTGAAAAACAAAAGTAGAGGAAGAAATAATTGACAAGCAGTATCTTCATCCTGACTAATCTGTATGTGCATATCTCTCTGAGGTCTGCTGACTTGCTTTCCCTAGTGTGGTAAGAACAGACTGAAGGGTCAGTTTTGTTCAGAGAATTCATAGAAAATGAATGAGACATCCACAGAGTAGGACAGAAGCAAAGAAACCCACATATCATTTTGCTTCTTTTGAAAACAGGGAGAGATTAGTTTGGGAAATATTCATGCCTGAAATTAACTTATTTGCCCTGGTAAGAAAGACAGGGAGTCAAAGCAGGAGAATTATCACCCCGTCTGCTGAGTCTTCTTTCTCTGCCTTTGGTGGTCTCGGTCTCTCATTCCTCAGTGCCCCCTCTGCACTGTGAGTCTGTGTTACACAGGGTGTGTGGCACTGTGATTGTAATTAACACAGTGTGAGATACACCACACTCAGAAATACTGTAAACATTCAGAAAATACTGAATATTAAGTGAGCTAAGACAACTCAAGTCAACTCAAAGATAAATTAAGCGCTATCAAATAAAGTGCAACCACATCCAAAATAAACAAGGAAAAGTGAGAGTTCAATTAGATCCAGATTCTGGGCTGGATCTTAGGGAACAGAAAACGCCAAAGAAGTAGCTTCGGTAACCATGAATCTTCTACCCTCCATGAAGACGCTGAAGCCTCACTGACTGAGTTATGCACACAGAGTTGGAATCTAGCCCTAGGGAAAACCCGAAGCTGACACGTCTTTGTCTGGTCTGCTTACTTGAACTGCAGGTTCTATTTCTGTTTGTAGTGGTCCCAAGACGCACGACCCAAAGGAAGAAATATAGAACTGGAATTTAAGAGGTAGAAGTTCTCTGCCTCACTTTGTCATGGTGACCTTGGACAGGACATTTCACCTCTCAGATCATTAGCTCTCTCAACTATAAATGAGAGGACTGGACTGGAATTCTCTAGTTCTCTCCAGGGGAATTTTAGAATTGCAGGCTTCTTTGCCTGGATTCCATTTCCTTACAGGAATGTTTTCTTAACCGCTATGGTATAGATAGAATTCGGATTTGGAAAATAGAGCTTCTTAGCTAATGTTAAAAACAGTTTAGAGTCTGAATATACAAAATAAGGAAAGAAAAATTTAAAGCCTCAATGGTATGGAAATAATCATGGCCAACTGACTCACACAAAGGAGATCACCATTCGGCTGGCTGCAAAAATCTCCTGGTACCTGAGCAGAGCAAAAAAATTTGACAAGATTTTTGGGCAATAAGAAAGCCTGTTGTTGAGAAGGACAAGAATGAGTCATCCCATTGCATGCAGGAAAGAGGAAGTCCGGTGAGAACAGCTACCCTGAGAATGCATTGTCAGCTTAACAGACAGGTGCTCTGACTTCGTCCAGTGATTGCCTAGATCTGTTAATGAAGAAACCATGGCTGCTTCCAAGGGGCACGATGCTGCAGCCTGGGGTGACTGGCTCTCCTTGGCCAACTGCACTCACGTCATTCACGGAAGTAAAACCAACTGAAAAGTTCTACAATGTCAACTGCAAGAGACAATGACTACCCAAGTTACGCAGAAATCCTCCTTAGAAGGTTCCCTGTGGTTGAAGATACTTCCAGTGAGCTTGGGTCAGAGAATGGAGTTTCTACTCCGGCTTTCTAGTCCGTTGTCTGTTACTTTAAGCTTTTCAAATCAATTTCTTTGATAAGGAGACAAAAAATTATGAGAGACAATTATAAAATGTAAAATAATCTTAGATCAATACATATGAAACCTTAATAGAATATTTGGCTACTATTACTAATTATGTAAAAATTCGTCTTACCTGTATTTAAATGTGCATATACATACACATTTATTTATATATTTAAATATATTTATATATTGAAATCATATATGTTGTTCTCACAAAAATTACCTGTGTTTAAATACACATAGATGTATATGTATATATAATATAAATTTCTTTCTTTGTGTGTGTGTGTGTGCACCTCTTTGAGTCTAGCAGGAGAATGTGCTTTGAAATCACTGCTTTCTCCTTGGATTTGATATATAGCCAAGCAACCTATCCTCGATTAACAGAGTCCCCTCCTGGGAAAAGTCACAGAATAACGTTATTGACTTCCCTTTACCCTTCTCCATGTTTCTCTCCTGAAATGTTGTCTTAACTCTTAAATGCAAGAGGAAAATGATGCAAAAATAAAACTGAAAACCTTTGCTTCTTTAGGACCATGTTTATTTCCTTATTTTTTATCTTCAAAAAAATTAAAAAGAGAACAGGCATCCAAGAAGAATTTTTTTCCCAAGGTTGTCAGGCAACCTATTTCTTTAAACCAAAACCTGTGTTTTACACCACATGTTGTACTGGTAGTACATAAATCTATGCTCCTCTCGGCTCTCTCAAGATGACTGAACCCCACCATCTCTGGACCCCACTAGGACTGTTTGGCAATCAATCTTTCCTGTGCTTCCAGGAATTTGTTCAGTTCACAGGAATACATGGAAAGTTTGTTTCGCACATTTCCCTCCCCGCCATTTTTCCACCTCAAAAGATTCCAGACAAGCTTAAATTTTTAAACACAATTGTTACTTTTTACTAATGTAGAAAATTCTTTATACAGAAAGCCTTCAAGATCACTGATGTCATTTAGGAGTGTCTCTGATACAAAATTGGAAATGCAAAAAAGCAGCTTCTGGAGACATGTTTCTGCCTTGAGTTTTTAGGGTTACAGTGGAAGCGTAATTCCCTCCCCTTCCAGATGGGGCGCTGCCTTGTAGCTCCATTTTGCTTGCGGACAGACAGACGGAAGGATCAGGGTGGTAGAAAGAGCAGACAAAAGGAAGACTCAGAAGAAGCTTAAAGTAAAAGCTCTAAGCACCTTTTTCAGTTTTTTTTTCCTTTTCTCCACCACATATTAATTCTACCTACTCTAACAACTGAGCTAAAAAAAATAAAATAAAATAAAAAACACTAGTGGGATTTCTGTTTCTATCAGTTCCCCTCCCCCCTTTTAGCATCCATGGATTCTTTTTTATGTAAAGAGAAGGAAAGGACTGACTTATTTACAATACAATTATAACCTGATTATTTGCTTTAAGCAAATAAAGTTGTTTCATGAAATAAACAGATTATATTATTTAAAATTGGAAGCTTATGTAAGAATCAAGATTAAAACAAGTACAGAAAGAAAACAGAATCCTTGGGATTATGATACTCTAATACCCAATGCTTAGTGATGCTTTAGGAGAACAATTATTAACAGTATGAGGAATATCTGCTTCCAAAGCACAAAAGAAACATTCAAAGTTGCAAAAGGACAGTGATGTGCTATGTGTCCCTGAGGTTTAATCACAGAATTTTATTTCACTAATGTACAAGCTTAGTTTTAATTAAATGCCATTGTGTTTTCAAGTAGCCAGTTTATCTTTTTTTCTTTCATTTATTGTTTCTCTGCACCACTTAAATCAAAACACTGGTTCAAAGGAATTATGGGTAAAAGTGGGTAGAAAGGCACGTGAAGAATTGAGTCCTCTTGTTCAAATCAAGTTTCCTTCTGTGTTGTGCAGTAGAGAGAATGGGGGAAGTTTGTCCTAATATCTTCCTGTCTCTGTCTCAACTTGTTCTTTTCATAGAGCCTCAGTAGGGAATTACATAACAGTGCAACTTGTATCCTGCTTAAGTAGGGAGATCTCTGAGGATATTTCCAAGAACAGCTCTTTTCAAGGAAGAAGAACTAAAACTGTACCATATAAGAAGAAATAACATTTATTTGGGCAATCTAAGACTTTTATTGGAACCGGCTGGAGTGTTCCAGCTGTAGGTATCCACTTGCTTTGGGATGTATGAAACTGCCAGGTGCTCATCCTATCTAGCCACAGAGAACATGCCTGGGTTTCAGGATCTAGTCAAAAGATCTTTCCTAGCCATTTAATGCATACTGAGAGAACACAACAAATTCAACACAATTGCAAGCTGCCATGCAAGAAAGTACAGAATTTAGCATCCATCCATCCACTCATTCATCCAAGCTTTTAAAAGACAACTGTCACATGAACTGTGTTGTGTCTAAGAATAGTATTAGGTGGGAAGAAAAAAAAGCTATCACATCCTACCTTTGTTTTTCTTTCTAGCTCCTACTATTCCTATGATTTCTCTTGACTTAAAGTGGTTACTCAAAGTCAGGCACTGGTGGTACAATCATATAATCCCAACACTCTGGGAGACTGAGGCAGGAAGGTCAAAAGTATGAGTCCAGCCTGGACTACTTAGTGAGACCCTGGCTCAAAGTAAAAATGAGTTGAGGATGTAGCTCAGTGTGAAAGCTGTCAGCTTAGCCCTCCACACCCCCACCCAAAAGTGGCTATTCAGGAAAGTCTTCAACTGAAAACAGTTCTCAAGGGATCATATATTTATTTCATCTTTTTTCCTTTCATACCCATGTGCAGAATATCATCTGACACAAGCTTACCTAAATAAATGTTATTAATTAGTCATAAATCTAAACATTGTCTCTCCTAAAAGCTAGCTTGACATGCATCATGAAGCCATATTTATGTCAAAATTGGGAGAAAGCCTCCCTCTTGATTTCTGAGGCTTAAAAAAAATGGGGATGATATTTTCCCCTAATGTGAATGATTGTAAGAGGAGTATTTGGTTCATTTCTTAGTTAAAAGGAACCTGAAGCTGTGAAACTAAAATATCAAGAGAAATACTTGATTCAGGCCTGTTGTGTAGTGCTTACACTTAAGTAGTGCACCCATAATGCAAGCTTCAGGGAGTGATCTGTGTGGTTTCTCGTCTTCCCCTCAATGATGTGTTGCAAATAATTCCCTGATGATGCATCAGATTCCTGACCATGGAATTGTATACAAATAAATAAATACAAGGCTATCACTATTTGTGCTTTACACTGGAAAGACTTCAGAAACATACTGTCTCAATTGAAAGTCTGAAATCATAGCAAAATTTCTATCTTCCCTTTCCTCCTGGCTCTGCAGCTAAGAGGAACTGTCCTGGTAAAAAGGTTTATTAGTCACTGTCAATTAAGAAAAGCCTGATATTCATAAGCAACCTGTATCTATGGGACTTGTAGAGTAGCGTTATGTTGGGAGAGAATGAATTAAGGTAGAAACTCTTCAATAACAGCAAAGAAGCTGTATGGTTAGATCTGGTGATTCCTACAGCATGCATGAAGGCATACCGAGAAAGAATGTGTCTTACACAAACTAGCCACTGGTCTTCTAAAAAGGACTAATGTTAACATACATAAAGGTAACATAAGAAATACGGAAACATCCTCTCTTTTTCCTCAAAGGTCATGGAGATTGCTTGAGTTACAATGGCCTTGACCTCTTGGTTTTTCTTATGCCATCTGCGTAGGGACTCAAAAGCCAATTACCCCCAACCCTAATGGTGGCACCAGATATCACCAAAAGAATGCCAAGGTGGTATACATAGGCCAACACAGAATAGCGAACAGAAAACTGGGTTAAGTAGCATGCTTTGCGGTCAAAGTCTGTTTTGGATTTTCTATGTGATTTCTATATACCTCTTGCTAGAGGCAAAACACTTATCCACAAAGCACTTTGGGTTAAATTTCCTTTACAGAAATTCCAAGTTAAAGAGATTCAAACACCCATTGAGAGGGCCCAAAGAATGTAGTCTGGCAAAGAAGTAAGAAATGTAAACACTGAATGATTCATGCCATTTTTTGCAAAAGATGCTCATAGTTTACTAAGGATGTTCAAAGTACATATGTGTCATTACAATAATAAATTAGACAATGTTAAGTGGAATAATTGGTTTATTAAATGTTTTGGGGAAGAAGATGTGATGTATTATGTGCCAGGCACTATAAAAGTTAAGAGAGGATAAAATATACATCAAATGTAGTCGATGAAATTCTTACGGAGAACTTTCTCATATGGGAAGGGGAGCGAAAGAGGAGGGAGGAGGAGGAAATAAAGGGAAAGGAATTTTTTGTTTTTTTAAAAAAGAGGTTTTAGGCCAGGGGTTTAGCTCAGCGGTGTAAGCGCCTGCTTGGCAAACACGAGGTCATGAGTTAGATCCCTGGCACAAAAGTAAAAAAAAAAAAAGAAAAAGAACTGTATACAACTTTAATTAAAGTGGGGTCCACATGGGATAGTTGGCTTTCATGCTAAGAAAAAAAGAGGTTTAAAAGAGAGAAAATAGAGCTTTTGCAAATGAGAAAGGAGTAAGAGTTGGAAGGAACAGGGAGGGTTGGGAGGGAAAGGTGACAAAAGAATTCAGATGTGTCGTGTACATGTGCAAAGTGCAAACATGCACCAATAAAAAAAGAGAGAGAAATCCATGACTGCCAGTTTAGTACAGGAACAGACCTATAGGTGAACTTCAACAGAAGAGAGCAATGCAGAGGGCATTGGGTAAAGTCAGAAAAGATGAGATCGTTCCTGTTGACAGTGACACAAAAGGTTTCACAGAGGACTGCAGGCAGACACCAAAAGGTAAGAGAGAGAAGCATGGAAAAGTGCTCCCTCGGAGCCTCTGGAAAGAATCAACAGCATCTTCATCTTGGACTTCTGGTTTCCTGAACTTGGACTTTTCTGTTTTCATAGACAAAAAGCCTACGGGATTCTGAAGAGCCCTGTTTTACTGAAATGGAGCTATAGATTCAAAGTAATCCTGATAAAAATTTTAATATGCATTTTTGACATTACAGAAATTATCAAATTCACCCTCAAATTTATACGGCAAGTACAAAGCTCTAGAATTTTCAAAATAATTTTATAAGACTGAGCATTTTATGCTATTTTACTTGAAGGTTCACTGTATTTGTAGTATGGCAGAGACAGTACAGTATGAGAGGGAAGGACAGACAAACAGATCAATGGAACTACAGTCAGAAAATATGGACCGCGCTTCTGTGATCTATCCATTTGGGGCAAAAATGCCAAAGTAACTCAGTGGGGGGAAAGTCATTTCAAGAAATGGTGCGGAACAACTAGATGACTATAGAGAAAAAGAAAGAACGCTGGCCTTTATTCTACATGGTATAAAATATTAGCTCAAAATACATAATGGACATTAACGTAAAAGCTAAAACTACACAGGAGGAGCTGGAGATCTAGCTCAGGGGCTCAAGCTCTTGCCTGGTAAGTGCGAGGTCATGAGTTGGATTCCCTGTTCAAAAAAATAAATAAATAAAACTACACAGGAATTTAAAAGTCTCCTCGTAGCTATGAAGATGGGAAATGATAGCAAAAGTAAGACATAAACACAAAGATCCATAAAGAAAAATTTGTAAGTTGGATTAGCTCAAAATTTTAAACTTTTGCTAAAAATCACCATGAAGAAAATTAAAAATGTGCATTACAAACCAGAGGGAGTATTTTATATGTGTAATATGCAGACTTGTGTTTTATATACTTATGAAGCCCTCTTAAATTTCACAATAAGACAATTTAGCTGTGAACAGTGGCACAGACCTATATTCGGAAAAGTTGGGAAGTTGAGTTAGGAAGCTCACTGTAAATTCCAGGCCAGTCTGGGGCACAAAGTTAGTTAAAGGCCGGTCTTCACTGCACAGTAAAACTGTCTGAAAAAGACACACGTACACACAAAAATATAACATGACCTACTAATAAAAACAATTTTAAACCAGTATTTCACAAAAGAAGATACACAGTGGTTAGTAAACATATGAAAAGATGCTCAAAATCACAACTAATCAGTGAAATGTAAATTAAAATCACAATAAGATTTGACTACATTCCCACTAGGATACCTAAAATTTAAAAACCTGACAATAACAAGTTTTGGCAAGATAACAGATTAGTTGGATCTCATGTATACATCCTTTGTGGAAATGTCACATAGCAAACAATTTGGATAACTGACAGTTTCTTAAGAAGTGAAATAGTCTAATATATGACCCAGCAATTTTGTGCCTAGAATTTACCAAAGAGAAGTGCTACTATTGATAGCAGCTTTATTCACTATGTCAAAAAGTGGAAATCAGCCCAACTGTGAACAGATAAACTGTGATATATCTATGCTTCAATGAACTACTACGCAGCAGATAAAAAGAAATAAACTCTATTTGCAACACTGTGGAGAGTCTCAGAACTGTTGCATTGAATGAAACAAGCCAGACACAAAGAAGTACATACTGTATGATTCCATTAGTTTAAAGCTATAGAAAGGACCCACTAACTTATAGTAAGAAGCAAGTCAGAAAAAGCCTGGAAATAGGGTTGGTGGTGGAAATGGACTACAGAACTCTAGACAGTTTGAGAGAAAAGGAATTTGTTCTGTACTTCGATGGCAGTGGCATTACAGACAGAAATCCTGTCAAAACTGATCAATTGCACACTTTCAATGGATGTGGTTCTTGTATGTAAATTGTATTTCAGACCTCAGGAGAGCTCTGTCATTTTCTCTATGGTCCACAATGTACTAGGTAAGAACTCTTGGTGATGTTACATAGAGATTTGGGTTGGTTTTAACTATCTGTTAATAAACAGACTTGTTTCTTCTAGATTAGGGGTCAGAAGTCTATGCCTTTGACCCAAATCCAGTCTGCCTCCTGTTATACTGGAATATGGTCATGCTTATCTGTTTATTAGTTTAGAGTTACTTTTTTTTCACAAAACAGCCAAGTGAGTAACTGTAATGGAAACCATCTGACTCGCAAAACTTAAAATATTTACTCTCTGGTGTATAGAAATAAAGTTTGGTGGATCCTACAGTGGAGAATACAAAGTCAGATATGGACACGGGCAGCCTGAATTGATGTTATGTCAGGAAGAAGGAAGACCCGTGTGTAAGAATGAAAATAGTACACTTTAAAAAATCCACGTTCAGCAATACAAATTAATATGCACACTGACATGAATAAAGAGTCAAATACAGTTAGCCTTCGAAGTACCTTGTGTTAATCTTATTAAAGTCAAAAGTTTTAGTAAGACTGACTACAGCAAAGCATGTTAAAAAGAGCAGGGAAGTACTTATCTGAAAAGCCCCAAACTGTCTTAGTCTCCCTTTCTTGGGCATAAAATAAATGGAATCAATAACCTTTCTATTCACAATACAAAATCTGTACTCATTTTAGTGAATCATTAGTTATTAAACTACCCTTGATGCTTGCATTTGCTCAACTGCAGTGAAATCCTTGTAGGTGAGGGTGAGGGGCCGGGGTGCAGTGTACCCAGGTCTGTCGTGACAGAGGAGCACAGCTCAGGCTAGATCTTGATTCTACCACTACGACTGATGATGAGGTATTGGGCAAGATGCTTACCCTCTAACCCATGGCTTCCCTTCTGTAAAATGGAGATAAGCTTTCCTCAATGATGGGGTGGTCAGAAGGGGTGAATCCACAATGCAAAGGAACCCAAAACAAAACGTCACCACTCAGTAAGTGTTAGGACTTTCCTTCTTCAGCACTGTAATGGCAATTGTTTCAGTTAAAATGGATTTTATTTCAAAATCTTCAGGTGGTATTGACTGTCACCACTTTCTAGAGAGTCTTTTAAAGTGTTTATCAAGAGGGTTGAAGTTAATTTACAGTTTTGGCTCTAATTTTTTTTCATTACTAGGCATTGAACTCAAGATCTAACAGATGCTGTGCTTACACACTGAGCTATACTCCCGTTCCTGTTTTTATTTTGAGACAGTCTCACGTAGTTGCTCAGATTGGTCTAGAACTTAGCTCTCTTATTGCCTCAGTTTCCCAGCTTCCCAGGTTGGCTGCAGGTGTGTGACATCATACTCAACTCTTTAATTTTTAGGTAGATACCTGATCTTTGTCTCTTCCAAGAGAAGTATGTTGTGCTTCCATATGCTATGAAATGCCTGCTACATTTTCCTGTAATTCTACAACGCTAATGGTGATTATGCAATCATTTTCAAATGTAACTTTAAAAAGCCATTTGCTTGGGTGGAGGAGTAAAAGTTTTCTTTCTAGGGCTGAAGACATTCTGGACTAATAAACTGCCACTGAAGTGGGAGATCCAGCGAAGGGCAGACACCAGAAGACGAGGAAAAGTTGAAGACCAAGATGACTGAAAGGCAAAAGGCAGAGAAAGACAACTAACAGCCCAGAATTCACCAACACAACGTTCCTAAAGCTTCCCTTTAGCGATCAAGTGAGTGAGTTACTAGGAATCATTTAAAATGACTTCAAAGGCAGAAGCTGCTCTAATGTGTACTAGGCAAGCTTTGGTTCTTATAAAAGTCTATTTACACGGGTGTTATGGTTTATATCTAGATGTCCCCTAAAGCTTCATGTGCTCATAGGCTGGAGTTTTGAAAGGTGACTGGATAATGTGGGCCTGAGAGCTGACTTGCTGTCAAGAGGTGGGATCTGGTCAGAAGACGTGGATCAGTGTGGGTGACCTGGAAAGATCTGTTTTCCACCCAGGCTTCTCCTTTCACTCCGACTCTACTTCTTCACTGCTCAGACATCCACCATGCCCCTGAGCCATGCTATCTTGCCTTGGAGTCAGCAGGCTAAAGACTCAACTGTAAGCCAAAATAAACTTCTCCTTCTTTAAACTGTGGGTGTTTGGTATTGTGTCTCCACAACCCAAAAGTGACTAAGATTGTGGGGGATTGTGTTCCTTGATAAAATAGGATAGGTGAGGCCTTGCAAATGAAATTGCAGAAGGACTCATTGAAGCACTTTTAGATGGCCATTTAACTGTATTTTCTCTGTCACGCACAGAATCTATAAGCCCAGAAGCACAGGCTCATGTGACTTTTGCCTGGGGTGTGTGTGTGTGTGTGTGTGTGTGTGTGTGTGTGTCTGTGTGTGTGTGTGTCTGTGTGTCTGTGAGTGTGTATGTGTGTGTTCTTTGCATAAGCACAATCAAGGTGTTCAATGAATGTGTGGTTATGATGATGATCAAGAGTTTAACAATAATGGGATCTTCTCCAAAGGCTGGTTAGTGAGGTTTCAAGTTAATATATTTTTCATTTTCTTTTTACACTCATTGCAGAGGGGTGGAAGGGGAGTAGAAAGGATCACAAATTGAGTAGTCATCAAAATAAAAACATAAAAAGGCTGTTCTATTTAAAAGTAGGTAGATGGCTTTGTTGGGGTAGTTGCTGATGGTTAAATAGGATATTCTGGATTATATTCCATGGCTCATTCTATCACTTCAGCATATTTTATCCTAGCCAACCTCCATTTCCAAAATTTTCCTAACCACATTTACCATTTGCAACTTCTGAAGTAGATCTACAGAGCTAAGTGGCCCTTGGTTCTATTAGAAGAATATGGTGTCACTTATACAATAAGCACTTATGTGCTAGAAAGCAAAGGGGTCTGACAGCTGCTGTGATCCTACAGTTCTCCTGTAACACAGTGAAGTCATGTAAGTTTCTACCTGAAAATCTCACTCCTTAGCAAACCTTTCTTTCTATGCTAGGAATGGTGAATCTTAGACTCTGGTCTACGAGTGACTCTTACTTCTCATCATCATGAAGCTAAGTACGAAAACAATAAACCTAACCACACCTGAGAGGGATCCACTTCAGCAATCTAGTTCCCATCCACTATGCATCATATTCCAGATTTAAACTGTGGGAGTCATCCTTGCCTCAGCCCTCCTCTTCTCTCCCCACATCTATTTTTAATTACAGAATCCTACTGCTCCTCCGTGCAGCATATCTGCCCCTTCTGCTCTGCTCTCTCTATTGCCTTAAGTTCTCTGTCTCCTCACCTCTTGAAAACACAGGCAGCTTTCTCCTTTCTCCAGGAGTAACATCCCCACTCCACACAGAATTCCACTCATAATACACTGCTTTAAATCATGCTCTTAATTTGTCATGCCCTGACCCAAATTTTCCTTGCTAATTTATCTCTTACCACTTGATATAGAAATAGGGAACATGAACATCAGAGAAGTCCACAAGAAATGAAATACTATAGAATTATCAATCACAGAAGTAAATTCTTGAATGTGACACAATGTGACCTGCCTCCACTGAAGAATACACAGATTCCACACTGCTGGCCAAAGCGCCATCTTGGGTTCTCAGGTCAGGCTCACCATGGTTGATGAGCATGCTGGATTCTTCCTGCCCCACTGTCTCCTGGGGAGCAAAATGGGGAGCTGCACAGAAGTACAGGCAAGAGCTTTTTTATATCAGGAAATGACCAGTGACCTACATGCTTTGCCAGAGATCCTTGTGCTTGACCCCTGTCCCATTTATTTTATTAAAACCTTGACTGAAGATAGATTACATTATTATCAAATCTGAAGATATTGAAAATGGGAGAAAAAAGAAAAGCTACACCCAATGACAAGATCAAAGTTCATAGACAGCTCTACTAAGAGGTCAAAGTGAAGAGCAGAAAATGTGACAGAAATAAATAAGTTTTGAATGGTAGGTTCAAAACTTCCACTGAACCGGATGAGGGAGACTCCATATAATTATTAGAATAAAAAATTTCCAGGGAAGGAGGTCAGGGTGAGGGAGCATGAATTATTTATAAGGAAAACACAAATAAAGCCAACAGTTTTGCCTTCAAAATAGTCAAAGAATACTTAGGCTGCATAATAGAATTATGTTGTCTAGAACAAGTGATGAGCTAGTTACATGGTGCTCCCTGATTTGACAGCCCAAGAATACTTTCAATTCTGGTTGTCATATCAATCAACAAACAAATACACGAAGAATTATAAAGACCTAGAAATCACATATACTATATGGATTTGTGTTTAAATTAAGAATAGAGGTATTAAGAAAAGATGCAAAGTCTGTTTCTCTAAAGATTATCCTGCAAAAAGAAGTAGGTAATTTATTCTCTGTAGCTCAGGAGGTAAGAACTAGACGTAAGGGTGAAAGTCTGGTGAATTTTAGCTCAACAGAAAAATTATTTTCTGTTAGAAAGAGACAAAGTAGTAGAATCTGATGTACTAGAAGTGTTCAAAAACTTGTACACCATTCATGGAATACAGACAAACTAAACCTGGAGTTACCTCCTATAAATCTCTAAGGTGTGATACTGCTGCCCAATCCCAGAAATCCCCTTCCCTCTCCCATGGCTATACACATCTATCATATTTCTCTACATTGATAGGCAGCTCTGTGTCTCTCACCAGGCTAAGAGCTCTTTGAAGGTAAAGACCCTCACTTTTATATGATGGCATACCCTGGCCTATAGTGCAACCCCTTGAGAAGCTAAAATAATCAATGTATTTTTCTGAGTTAAGTGAGTTATGAAGTTTTACCTAGAAAAATTCCCCTCCAAAATCCAACATGTTTCTCTTTCCACACAACGCATTCCCTAACAACTTCTGTAGCTTGCATTCTGTGCCATACAGTCTTCCATAATGTGATTTTGTATAATATTTAATGTGTGTCCCCCCACTCCTCAACTAGACTGTCAATTCTCAGTGAACAAAAGAATATCATTTAAAAATTATTCCAACTACTTGTCATCAGATACAGCACAGAATTAGTCATAATGTGCTTACTGATTGAAAAGTAATCTAGAAAATGTTAGCATTAAAAATTTATCTTCCACTTATCAATTACAAAGAGGAACAATAGCAACTAATAGGGAAGACATATGACAGTCAACCAAGTGATCAGAATTTATATTACCTACGTGACAGTATATTGAAATGATTGATCCAATAAAGAAGGCTTTAAAAAGGGCAAATCATTTTTGTAGTATTCTTGTAAAAAATGAATAATCTCACTCTAAACGTGAAACAACACTTAAAAACTCAAACTGAGGTATTCTAAAAGATATGAGATTAGTAGAAAAACAAAGAAAGATAAGAATCATTACAGATCAGAAAATATGACATTAAATGAAATGTAGATTCTTGTATTGCTTGTTTGACCAAAGAGAGGACATGATTGGAAATAGCTGAGAAATTTCAGTGAGATCTAAAGATTAATTAGCAATATTACAGCAGTGTTAATGTGCTGATGTTGATCACTGTACTCCACCTATGAAGATGTAACCATTAGGGGAAGCCAGGTGAAGCGTATATGGGAATAGGGTGAAGGGTAATGAGAACAGAATATTACTTTGCACCTTGTATTTACGTCTAAAATTATTTCAAAACAGGAAGTTGAGTAAGTCATAGTGTGGCATGCAACCTGACAAGCTTGATTGTGGCAAACAACCAAGATAGCTACATTTAACTAAAACAAATAAGGTGGTCTTAACTGTGGTTATTTGCAGTGCTTGTCAGTTATGTGGCTACTTGAATACTGACTTAGTGAATATTAGAGAACTGCTCTTGGAGGAAAGCCTCTGGTCACATCTTGTTTCAACTGATCAATACACAACCTTGTTTTATATGTTGCACAGGAAAACTGATAGAGTTTTAGCATTATACTTGGTGGTCACTTTTTTTTTTAATCAAACTCACAACCTCACACTGCCAGGCAGGCACTTATGCCACTGAGCTAAATCCCCATCCCATAGAAAACTATTTTTTTCTTTCTTTCTTTCTTTCTTTCTTTCTTTCTTTCTTTCTTTCTTTTTTTTTTTTTTTTTTTTGTCTTTTTCTTTTTTATTGGTACCGGGGATCAAACTCATGACTGCCTGCTTGCAAGGTAGGCGCTTATGCCGCTGAGCTAAATCCCCAGCCCTTGGTGGTCACTTTAAACAGCAAAATTATCAACAAATAGCATAAAAACTGCAAACAAATGTGTCACTAAATGACAATAATTTTTTGCTACATTTTGCATGTCCACAAATGACCACAAGAGCTTTCAAAGTATTGATTCTGGGGTTACAAATAAATTTTAGTAACCATACCAAGTCTCAAATATGGAATCTGTGGATACCAAGGTTTGCCTATATCTTTTTTTTTTTTTTTATCGGTCCCAGGGATCAAACTCATGACTGCCTGCTTGAAAGGCAGGCACTTATGCCACTGAGCTAAATCCCCATTCCCGCCTATATCTGTAAATATGCCATCCAATGACTGTGAATGTGTAGAACCTCATCCTTAGTGAGCAAAAAATCAGTACAATATTTGCATTTCAAATGAGAAATTGAATTCTTAAATCAGTACGTAATCAAGAGTTCTTCGATTATCAGAACCCAGTAGAAAGAATGAGCCTTCTCCATTAAGATCAACTCATATCAAGAAAGTCTGGCTCTAAACTCCTTCAGTTTGGAAGCATCTTAATCCTCCATCTTGATTGGACAGTTTATGGGATTTTTCCCCTCATCGTGACTACACTAAGGACCTTTCTCACACCCGGCTTCATCAGCTCTAACGATATTAATTTTCCTTCTCATGTTAGTTATCAACATACATGGCCAGAAGGAGAACTCCGTCAGCATCAGGAACTGCTTTCCTTTCAGGAAATCACTTCCAATTTCCACAGTGCTCATCGTCCATTTTTACTTAAGGTACTGACTTCCTATGTATGACCTAGAAACTCCCAAAATTCCTATCTCCACCCCAAGCCAATCACTCACTTCTACCAATACTTGAACTTTACCCTGGATCTAGTATCTCTTGAATGTCTTCATCTTTTCATTTCTTAAACTATGATCTTGGTTCCTCTACTTCTATTGCTGGTCTACCAAGTATCTGTGCACAAAAATCACAAAAAAAATGCTGTTTAAATCTAAAATAAATCAATTTCCCTAATCAGCTTTCAACAAGTCTTCAGTGTCCTTATTCACTTACTTGTGAGACCCAATTGCACAGACAGGTTCTGTCCAATCTTCTCTCTTTGCTACACACATTGCCAACACTCTAGTTCAGACTGGCATACAGATCACCCGAGTCTATGGTAATAAGTTCTTAACTAGTCTCTCCACATCCTGTCCTGTCCATTTTATACGCTAATTAATCATCCAAAATAGACAGTTAATCAACCTAAAGCTCCCCATAGCTACCTGGCAAAATTCCAAACACCTTTGTGTGTATTCAAGTTCCTCTCTAAACTGACTTCAGATTATTTGTAAAGACTCTTTTTCTACTAAACCTATCTGCAAACTGTGTATAAGCCCAATGGACTATTTGCATTCTCAAATATGTGCTATTTCCCTCTAGTCAAGTCCTTTGTTTACACTTCCTTCATTGTGAATAATTTGCCCCTAATGTCTATCCATCAAAATCTTATTCTCCAAGTGCCTACTCCAAGCATATCACTTCCAAAAAGACTGAAGTGATTTTACAATTGAAAATAACTTGTTTCTTGGATTTTCCAGAACTCTTTGTAATTGTAATCTACACATCTGCATTGATAGAGAAATTATTTGGTAATTATTGTATTCTCCCCTTTACATTTAAAGATATTTGATGGCAAGAAGCATCAAGACTATCTTGCATTCACTACAGCTTTAGAATAAAAGTTCAGTACTAAGTTATTTAATTAAACAATAAACATGTCTAATGTGCCTATTATGTGAGTATACATAATACCTCATATATAACATATATATATATATATATACATATATATGTATATATATCCCAGGTAAAACAAGAGATTGAGGAAAATACAACGCATTGTCAATAGACAATATTTTTGGCAGATTAAAGTTGGAAACAGACATAGGAAAAATAACTTAATATTCATTAATAATTAAGAGTATAACTTATTTACTTCATTTGATAAGGTAAACTTAAATTTTAGGGGAATTTACAAGTGGTAACTTCTCTAATGTTAACTCTACGAACAGGATTATACTGAAGTCTTCCTAGATATAGAAATTTATATACTTCATTCCTGAAATTTCAAAAAAGAAATAATAAATATATACAATGAATGCATAAACTGAATAGGAATTAACATAGCTAATACTATAATGGCACATCACATAATTCCAATGACTTTTCAGTTTTGATTAAGCAAAAAAACCACTTGATATTTATTCTCTATTCAATTTGCCCAGTGAATAGTAATTTTAAAAATCACCATCATTACTATCTCTATCATTACTGTCATAAAATGTATCCCTTAGTTAAAAAAGAACTTCAAAAATTATGCTGAGAAGTGTAGCGCAGAAAGAGCCTACAGCAGCTTGGAAGCTTAGTGACATCAGAGCAAATCCATTCATCTTCTTCATGGCCAGGATGGTTTTATTCACACACAATGAACAGTGCAGAGAAAGGTCCTTGAAGCCCTAGCCATTTAATAAGGGAGATTCCTTCCCAAATAAGATTTGACTCACTATAGAAAACTGCATGTGTTTACTCTATTTTTTTAAATTAAGTAATAAAAATAAGTCAGTTTTATACCAATATGCATTAAAATATTTATCTTTGAGGCTTCTGCCCATGTAGAGTTTAATAAACCTTTGAACTTCCGGTGACTCTAAGTAGCCTATGGTAACATCCCAAAGGCTGATCTTCAAATACACCTTCTCTTCACCTGGCAGTTGGACCTATGTCAGATTTGATTTTGTGCACTGAAGCAACAGTAAAGGCAAGGCAAGAATTCTGCAGGTGCTACAAAACACAATGCAGAACTTGTATATGGGCTACAAATGTTACCTGAGTTTCATGTTTCCTAAATCATGGGCCTTTCAAAATTTTTTACTGAAAGAAAACTTGGTTTAAGTGAGCGAACTTTTATTAACCACCTACTGTGTGTCAGTCTGGGACTGAAGGGATGATTAAGATGGTGCCTAATCCATTAAAATTAAATAGAAATAACACTGAGCATCATGTAACATGATGTGGTAGCAGCTTGACAAAACCTGCTGTAAGCAGAAAAGAAAGAGCTGCCTAAGGGAAGAGAAAAGGTAACAGAAAGAGAAAGACCCTGAGCTAGGCTTTGGAGAATAGTCACAAAAGGGATCCTCAACCTCAAGCACCGTTTAACTTTTAGAGTAACTTCAAAGCATGAACAGTTAAAGTGGTTGATATTAGAAATAAATCAGAGCTAGAACGTGTGTCCAGAACTAAACTGGGGGGATATTAAAGTGAGCTGTGAAGATGAGCCATGAGAATGGCATTCTCATTTCATATTCCCCAATCTTAACCCTAACTACTAGCTCTGGAATGCAATGCATGTTCTATGTTGAATTTAAAATGGAAATGACCCTGAAGGAAGTCTCTACCTGACACACAGGAGGTTTGGGGTGACTGAATGGAATTTTTAGCAGATACAAAGCCCTGACAGAAATTATTACCCTTAAAAAAAAGCAATGTTTTAGTTTAAGAATAACCAATATGATCAATAGTGCAATAAGCTATAGGATTCTAGAAATCAATGTATTATATTTACATGGCTGAAACACCAATGTGTGCAAATGATAATACAGGGCTCTGGAAGTGGAGAGAAAAATTGGTAGGGACCAATCGTAAAGAAACCAAATGGAATTCCTTATTACCATCAATTTTAGGAGAAAGAATCAGCATCCTGACATATCTTCTAGAAATAAAAAATGATCTGAAATGTATTCAGTTGTCTTAGGAATACTGTGCATGGGTGACATTAGGATTCTTTCATCTTCCTTCAAAATGGGTATATCCTGATCACTTTTTTTCTAACCAGTGCACGCTAGACTAAGCCGGGCAAATAACCGACTAAGAAGCCCCTCTGCAGTATCTGTTTCTAAGGAATCAATGCCCAGTATAGAGGAAATTAAATTAAAATTGAAAACAACAACAATAATAAAAAATAGCTTTGATTTTTAGTCTCAGAACATTACCTGATGAAGAAATAATAAAATGTTTGTATAATCTGGAGTGGGGATAGGGTTCTTAAAAATGTCTTTGTCAACACATTCCTGGAAAAACAATCTTTTATTAAAAATGTAGATTAGTCTGAATGCTTCATTTGTCTAAATAAATGTAGCCAGTGGCCAAAAACCAAGTTCTTAATAAAATTTAAATGTCCAGTGATTATGCTTTATTTATCATGCTTCTATTTTTTCTATTAATTTGTATTTTTTTGATCATCCACAACATTTTAAATTTTCCATGTGTCTGGATTAAGATTTGAAGTTAAAATAACAATTAAGTCAAATCTCCATCAAAGAGCTTTCTCGATAAGTATAGCAGAACTTTCCTGATTTAGCAGGACAACGAATTTATAATTTGCTAGTGGCAGAAAACGATTTTACTGCTGGAGAAGCCTATGTCAAATCTACATAGTGAGAAATTGGAGGGAACTTAAAGAGAATGTCTATGATTTTAATTTACTTATCCTACTTTAAAAAAAAAAGTCACTTGAGTCATCCTGGCTGACTTTCCTTAGCATTAGTCATAGAGCATTTCCTTAAGCCTGTGAGTGTGTTTCTATGTAAATAAACTATGTAGTTCACTTGGGGATAAAAGTCACAGTATTTAGAGATTATAAAGACCTATTAGATCATCTGGTCTGGCCCACAAGAGATAGTCCCTCGATAGTGAATGTAACTGTTGTTTTTTGCCAAGAGGCCAACAAGAAACAGTTGGAAAAAATATTTTCCATGCTTTTTTGGTTTTAAGTTATCTAATAGTGCTTTGGTCACTTCCCATGTAGACTAGTAAAGTTATCTTTAAACAGTTTCTATTATCAGGGAGATATAAAGTTTATGTTATTTGAGTTGACAGTGTCCTACCCACCTCCGTCTGTTGAAGAAATGATCTTTTTGCAAGATATGAATACTAAAGAATTCGCTCTTTGAACTTCCCCAGCTTTTTCCTCTCAATAAAGAAAGGCAAATAGCAAGTTCTCACTGTTTTTCCTAATCTATTCCACTGATTTCAGAGAAATTTGACATTACAACATGGATTTATGCAAAGCAGTAATACAATCACTATTTATAGCTTTCTGAATCAAAGTATGTTTCCATTTTCATTTTCTGTATTACATAGGATATGAACTATAGAAAGGCTTGGAATTCTGGCAGAGACCAAAGTGAAACAGCACTAGGAATTATAAAGAAATAGCAAAGACACCAGTTCTGGTAACTACTTTTATTCTTCAGTGTTTATGCATTATTTAATTATAGTCTAATTATACTTATTCATATCACAGTCAGAAAATTATTAACACTACTACTAAAGAAGAGAAAGCCTATATTTTTCACTCATATGTATGACAAAAATAGACATAAACATTTTAAATATAATCATTTCTAATCTACTAAACAAAAATCAACCTAAACATGAAGAAAATTTATTTCTGTTGAATTAGAATGTCTAGCATCAGTATGAAATTTGTATCAAGTAAGATTATATTACATTAGAAAGGTTAGTGAGAAAGCAATACAGTGTTTCTTGAAGTCTACATCCTAAATCAAGACTTTACATTCCATTTAAACCTCTAACGAATTTGAGATTCTGCAGCAACTCTGTGAGACTCTCCATGTGTACAGAGCATACACTGTGAGCTAAGTGGTTTTCACCAGTTTCCGTGAGACATTGTAAAGGTATTAGACACCATCGCTGTTTCCAGAGACACAACTATAGAAAGATAAATATATACTCTTTCATCCGTTATCTCCCACAAAGGATGAAAAGGGAGTGACTATAATTTCTGTTATCTAAAGTATGTTGACTTAAGATGGTGAAGCAAGGTCCAGATAAAACAGTACATTCAGACTGAGAAACTGTGGGAAGTTGAACACAAGGATGACTTATACTGACGGAGATTACTTACAAAGTTAATAGAGACCAATAAGGATGGTGAAGTGTTTTAGGATTATTAGCAGTGAGAAACCCTTACAGCCCTAAGCCTGAGAAAGTAAGGAGAAGCAGTGATCATTAGAAGCTGGAGTCAGAGCTGGCTGTGACCAAAATGACCACATTAAGTAAGGAGAAGCCAGTTCCAGCCCATGGCTGGGAGGGACTCAGTACCCTAACTGCTTTCTCCACTTTACCTCCAACTGCTTGCCACGGACGATCGGCCCAACTCATTCAGAAACACGAGGAAGGTCCACTGCTCAGCATGCAAGGGCACAGAGCAGGGTGGAACTGGATAGAGAGGAGAGCTGGCAAGGCAGGAAATAGCCCACGGACTCAGCTAAATTTAGAGCCACACGAGGTCATGGGATAATGAGTATTCCGTATTCAGGACTAAACATTTTGGTAGATTGGGTAAGAGTGATGTTTAATTTGCAACAGAATATTTTGACACTTTCCCATTGAAATAGAGCAGGGAGTCAATATTAACATCAGCTTCCATCTGAAGCCACCGAACATAAATGGTACACTCTAATTGAGCCCATATTTGCCAAGCTGAGGTCTATATTCACCACTTTTACATGTTAAACCACTTTACAAGATAAATTTAGCTTTATAATGCTGACCTTGAAGCGTGTGGATTGTGAATAACTTATAAATCTTAAGACATGTTAAATTGTATTTAGAATAGCTTTAGTCTTAAGCAGAATGCATTATTTATTTTAATGTCAGAAATTTTATTAAAATGATTCACCATAAAACTTTGTTTCTTAATCATGTCAGGTCATAAAAAAAACTTTACTTCCCAAACCTTTATATTCAGAGTTTTGGAAGATGTTCTCCCTTAACTATGCTTGATAGAACATGTGTTTTGCATATCTATTCCAATATATCAGCAATACTTCATTATTCAATAATAAAGAAGCTGTAAATTAACTAAGAATCTTAAATACGTAGAGGATTTCATACACAGTCATACACCCTGTGTGTGCCTTTTATGTTTTGAAGTTGCTGATTAGCAGCTGATCAGAAGCACCATGTTGCTACAACACTGCGATCTCACTATTGAATGTTCTGTCACAATTTGGAATTCAAGTTAAGATTTGAATTCTATACATTGTATTCAACTATAAAAATGGCATCCCCAGAACATCTGGGGCCTTATTCATCAAACAGTGAGTCATTCTGGAACTCCTGTCCCTATTCCCTGGACTTGATGAACTTTTGTAAATGAAATCTCCTGCCCCTGAGAGCACCAGTATTTCAGAAATGAAGATCAGCCTAGTTTGAAAAGAAGTCTAAAGGCTTATAGTTTGATGTAAAAACTGAATTCTTAACCCTCTTTACTGTCCTCCCTCATCAAAGTGACTGCAGTCATCTGCTGGCAAGATTGAGTAGTAATTGATATTATATAGCCTCAATATTTCAAAGAATGTGTACAATTGAAAATTCAAAAATTATTTGGTAGCTTTAAATTGGACAGATAATAATGAAAATACAGATCCATCCAGAAATTTACACAGCAAGAAAATTCTTTAGATCCTAAAGGAAAATCTTAATTATAGTTTCTGATCACGATCTATAAACAACAAAACAAAACTCTCATCAAAGTCCTACAGGAACAAGACATGGTCTCAACTGAGGTTTCCTTGGGAGTCACTCGAAGAGACGATAAGATAAAAAGAGATCATGTTTTGTTATGATCTTTTGGCAGTCATACAGAATAGTCTACTTTTAGGTAAGTTCCAAGTGAAAATCTAAGTGCAATCATAAGTTATTGATTTATTTTTCCTTGGCTTTCTTTTAAAATATATTGATTTACATTCCTTATATCTGAAGTGGATAAGCAAGAGGCTCTAAGTAGGCTAAGGAAGAACGAAGCCGCTATGTTATCAGATACTTCTTTTGGTCACCTTTTAAAACAGCCACCATAAAGCTTTCTAATATGTTTATTCAAAGAGTCTTGAGTCTGTGCCTTGAAAGGTTACATGTGATTTCCCTCTGTTAAAACCACAAGCATTTATTAAAGCAATAGAAAAAAAATGGTGCAGACATGATCCTCCCTCTCTCCACATGGCTCGAGTCTTATCAAGCACGATGTCATACAAACTTCTCCCCGCCCCCACCCTTCCTTAATGCACCATATAGAGAGGGCTCTCAGGCTGTAAAGATGTCATATATATATTTTCTCTTCCCTCAAAGCTTCCTAAATAAAGAGAGATCTATTTGTCTCCATGGTGTTTTCACCATTAACAGTATCAGAGCCACAGGAACACAATGGGAGATGTGTTTTCCCCTAACCTCTTGACTCAGAGATGTCCTGATGCTAAACGTTATTGCATTTTGCATTAGCACAGAACAGTGAGAGTTCTTTGACTGATGGAAAAGGGTTGAGAAGGGCCACAGAAGCTCTCATGTGCTCCAGACTGCAGTTGGCAGCAGAGCACAAAGCATGTAATTTTTGTTGAGAAAGGACACAAACAGGAATCAGAAAAGGAGGTGGTGAGTTTCACATGTCTCCCTCTTGAACGTTCACCACTGTGATAATCTATACTAACACGATCATCAGCACCTGATCATAGACATTAACTCATTAGAAAATGATGTACTGTTCTTTATTACTCTAGGGATCTGCAAACCACGGAAGGAGCAAGGGTATTCCTATGTACTATTTCTTAGGATACTCTTTCCAAGCTATATTGCTGCCTCCCGTGTTAGTAGCTGATGTGGAACCATTATTGAAAATTCTCCCTTATTATGGGGATGGAATAAGAGGGATATCTTTCCATGTTTTAAGACAAGACGACACAGAAGCTAATAAGTAAGATTCTCCTCAATAAACTCTAAAGTGATAGTTCCAGAATCAATATAATAGTTACCTCAGAAATTGTTCAGTTCTATTCTATTGGTTTACATCTTTGGACAACAAAATTCGAAAGCTGAAATGACTTGACTACAGCAGAACCAGGCTAGGTACCAGTATTCATGCTCCCAGATGGATCTTCTTTACATATTCTTGCGAAAGATGCTTCTGTTGAATGCATGGCTATAATAGGAGTATCTTTAGGAGTGTGCTCAATGTCACAATTTCTCTGTTTCCAAAACAAATCAATGCTGTACCCTAGGGTTCTGTATTAGGGACGGTAAATAAGATACACTTAGAAACAAGTTCTGTGGCTATACTTAAAAGGGGAATTTGGTGTACTTAGCTAAAGATGGAAAGCTATACCTAAATTTCTTACCTTTAGCCTAATTACCTAGACATCTGAAATTATAGAGCATTTACTTATTGGAGACATTGAGATGTAAGAATACAGTCCATGTGATGGTAACGTCAACCTCACTTAAATGTTGACTAGGTAATAACACAAAACTTTCCTTTGGCTTATGTCTTGCAGTGAGTAACTACTTTGAAGATAATAATATAGGGTATAATAACTATTGCTATTCTCTTGTTATTTGGTTATGAATTTTTATTTTATTTTTTCATAAAATAAAAAAGATAAGGTTAAAAAAGTTGATTAGAAAGAGCAGTAGTGACATGAGCATTATCCTATTTGCAGTCAAAGCTTACAATAAATATTTAGTAAATGAAAGTCACTTACAAAAAACTTGGTATTCTTATTTTTCCTTGGGTTTCCAGAAAACTCAGAAAAAACAGTAAGCCAAAGCCACCTCTGAGAAAGCTAATGTTTGTCCTCCGAAGAAAGTCTTCGGAAGCTCAATACAAGAAAATGATTCGTTACATTATTGAAAACTGGTTTTAAAGTCTTCCCTAATAAACCCAGTGAAAAAACTAATCCCTAAAAATAAAAAAAGCACAGAAACCTATCTTCAAAAAAGTTTCTAAACTCACTATATTAACTAACCAGTTTCCTTAAGTTGCAAAAGCAAAACATTTTTTTTTTTTGCTTATTGAAGGTTAAAATGTCAGCAATACTTCTGTTTTGAAGTTTATCAGGGCTAGAAAATAGCTGGATTGAATGAACATATTCTGAAAAATTAAATTAACATTTCTACTACAAGTATACATTTCTTGATAATATTTCAAGGCGTACCATGCTGCAACTTTTCCTTTTCTTTTTAAATCCTAACATTAATTTTCAGAAGATACCATGGTCATGTGTATCAATAGCATATTTGGGGTTTCTGGGGTTATGAATGTCTGCTCACTACAATAAAATTTAGTGAATTTTCCCTGGAAAAACATAATATATACTCACCAAAAATGAAGGCAAAGAATGAATCATTTTGGAAATGACTTTACCCTATTACTGCTGAAATTGATACTATGTTGTGACTAAAGTTGACTCCAACGTTAATTTAATTTAACTGTGTTTCCCAAACTATTTTTCCTACCGTGGCCTATTGGTTAAAAAGCATACCAGTATAGATAAGTTCTAGATCTTATGCCATTTGGAAGGCAAATTATTTACATTGTGGTAGATACAACATTATCACCAAATCAGTAGAAGCACAATTGTAATGAAGTTATTTTGTCTTCAGAAGCAGGGCATACTAACTGCTAATTTGTTCTTAAAAATCATGAATATGTGATCCCACTCAAGTTTATGCCACTGAAAAGGAGAGGGCCTTACTGTTTTGTGCAGGAAGGCAATTTGATATTAAAAAGCCTT